CATTTTGTGGGGCACAGAATCCTCTGCTGTCCCTTAAAACCACCATTGGGCCTCAGCCATGAGAGGGGCTGTTTCTGGGTCTGTGAAGAAAAAGACTATTAAAAAGTTTTCCTTGTGTGCTTGGGATTTCCAAGAGGAGCCCTTTTGGAAAGTTGGCAAATACTTACTTTCCTGGCACCAGAATTGGTTTTTTCTTTTCCCTCCACCCAAAGCCATGGGAGGGTGGAGTCCACTTCCATGAAATTGCATGTTTCCAAAATAGGCTTCACGGTGATACTTTGCTGTTAGAATTCAATCTCTAATCAAAAATAAGCAAAGCCCAAACATTCTAAAAGTAAAATTTTGGCTCCTATTTTCTAGTTTAGGCTTCTGATAGGATAGAATTATTATATTTTATGAAAGTGCCCTTTGAGCAAAAAATGGAGCAGATGATCCCCAAAGGGGTCTAAATGTCACTTCTCTCGGTAAGTCTTCCACAGCGATGGCCAGGATCTGGTGCTGAGGGCCACGCAGACCCCTCCTCCCCCCGCAACCGTGGTAGGTCTGACTTGCAGGAGGCAGCCCCATCCTCCTAGCGTTTGTGTCCAAGGACAAGTCTATGTCCAGCTGCAGGACCAGGCGCCGCTGCTGTCCTTGCTGGCAGGCCTCTCGCTGCTGCTGTCTGGGAAGGGGCGATATGATGGGATCGCTCACAGGGATGGGGTGGCCGCCCCGGGAGAGGTGGGAACAGCAGGGCAAGGCCAGTGGAACCACTGCTTTGCTGGAATCTGTGTGGATTCACTAGTTGCCTGTCCTCGAAGGTATCAGCTGTTTATCTTCACTTCCAAAGTGACAGGTGCAAAGACTTATGCTATGGTAGGTAAGCTCTTAAGGCCTTGGTCCTGAACGTCAATTTTAATAATAGAGAGCAAGGGGGTCTCCCTGGTGGCGCAAGGATTAAGACGCAACCTATGAAGCTATCCGCAGCCAGTGCAGAACAAGTTCGATTCCCGGCCAGCCAGGGAGTAACCCACATGGTGCAGCAGACATCTCCTGACTCGCCCCACTGTTCCCCTCAGCAGTATACTTCAGTCAGTCTGCCTGTTCTGTTACCCACTCTGTCTCTGGTGAATCCTCTCACCATCTCCCCCCCCCCTGCCCCGCACACACACACCTTTGGCCTGTACCCCAGCTCTTATATGCATAAATAAATCTTTTTATTTTTATTTTTTAAAGATTTATTTATTTATACAAGAACCGGGGTACAAGCCAGATGTGTGGGAGGGTGAGGGGACTCACCAGAGACAGAGCGGGGAACAGAACAGGCAGACTGACAAAATACACTGCTGAGGGGAGCAGCAGGCATGACAGGAGAGGTCTGCCGTGCCATGTGGAACCCTTGCCAGCTGGCAAGGATAGAACCAGTGCTGCAGAGGCTGCAGACAGCTTCACAGTGCAGCGCTCAATTGCCTGCACCACCAGGGAGGCCCCAAATAAATAAATCTTTAAAAAAAAAAAAGAGAGCAAAGGCCGTGGTAGCTATGGGCAGAGGCGCTGAGCCCCCTGAAGGCAGACTGTGTCTCAGACACCCCTAGGATGTCCCAGTGTTAACAGGGCAGGGAGAGAGGCACCCCAGAACCCCCAAACCTGCCCACTCTAAATAGGTTCTGCCATCCACTGCATCAAGACCTTTAATGGAAAGGAACTTTAATACAATTAGTGTGCAATACAGAAAAGAGAATGGAAAGAATAGAGAATATAGTTTTCAAATCAAGCACCTGAAGTCACCCATCCCCTTGTGGGTGAATGTCCAGCCCAACAGGGGTGGCCCAAAGCAGGGCCACTGAGGCGCAAAAGCCTGTCACAAGTCTAAGGCTTCTGGTGGGGACCCATAGAAAAGGGTCAGAAACAGCCAGACAAGTCTGGAAGGAAAGAGCAACATCAAAATCAAGATGAAAGCTGCCACTGTCATCTCCCCATGGGTCTCACCCACGCGTGTTTCCACACGTGGAAGCAGTCTAGGACCAGTCCAGGACCAGGAAGCAGGTACAGCTTCTTCACGTGTCTCTGCCCCCTGTGGCTCCTCCAGGCTCCTCCTGTTCCCCATGCTCTGCCTTCCTTGCGCAGGCTTCTCTCCAGCTTCTCCTCTGCTCCATCCTGCCTTGGGTGGGGCAGGGAACCTGGAACTTCCCTTTTCCTGGGGACCCTCGTGTTACACCAATACTTCACCTCACCTGCACACCCCACAAGTAATTCCTCAGTGAGGTCACATCCATGAGCCAGAAATGTGTGGCGACCACCTGCACTGGGAAAGGGCAGGCAGCTTGTGGGGGACATGGCGGGCGTGGTGTGGTTGCGGGGGTGGATGTGACCGGCCTTTCCTGCCTGAGATTTCGTGGGTATGTAATTGTTGAGTTTGTGGGACCGTGCTGGACCTGTCCTCAATAAACTTGGCTTCTTTGCTATCCTGCAATTTTCTTTGGAATCTGTAGTTTTTGGTTCCGTATGTTTGATTTCACTTTCCCGAGGAAGTGCAGAGGCTCCCCCAGCCATGGAGGACGTGAGCCTGTAGCCCGGCCACCTCCCTTCTTCCCCCGTTCCCACAGTCTGGTCCTCAGTTTCTGCCAGGCCCCTCTTCACAGACCTGTCTGCTTTCCCAGCAAGGTATTAGCCCTCCAAAGACTGACCCCCAGCTTGTGTGGTCCTACAGGAAGGGGTTCTGCTCCCCAAGAGCCCAGAAAGTCACAGCAGGGAAGAACTTCCCTGAGGACTCATGGGTGGCTCCTGACTTGTCTCCAGGGAAGGTTCCCTCACCCCAGTGAGAATCAGGGGGCCTTCCAATCCTTGCGCTGAGCATGGCCGGGACATGGGGCAGCAGAGAAGACCAGGCTGCAGGCGGGCAGCTCAGGGTGCAGAGGGAAACCCACAGGAGGGGGCGCAGCCTGGAGATCTGAGGAGGCAGCACCCACCAGTGCACGGGCGCCTTCTGGCCTGGTGTAGCTGGGCTTCCTGGCAGGTAGAGCCTCAGGGCATGTCCCAGCCATGGACTGTTCTCGAGGTCCAAGGTCCGGTCGCAAGACCCTGAGCTCTGCCTTGACCAGGTGCACAGCCCTTGAGGCAGAGACACATGAAGCATTTTTGTGGGCCTCCTTGCTTCTGGAGTGTACCCCAACTCTCTGGCCTACATCAGGTGCAGTTCGCCCCCTCGGGATGGGGGCCAGCAGGCACATAGCCCTCACCAGAGGGACATGGGGCCACCTTGGGTAAGCCGGGGCTCACTTGGGTGACCGGGGGCCAGGAAAGCACAGCTGGTGCTTTCCTGCAGCTCTCACAATTCTTTGCTCTCAGTGACTTTGATATTTCTTGCACTGGTCCTTGAAGTTTGTATAGGCATTGCCTCAAAGTTTTCATAAACTTTATCTCCTGCAAAGAAGGAAGAGGCAGGTCAGGACTTAGCCTTTCCCTTCCTCCCCATATTATTACCAGAAACGCCCTCAAAAAATAATCACCCCTGACGTGCCTTCTGCCTCTCTGGGTCTGAAAGAGTCCTGGCTGTGTTTTCTCCTTATGCTTGTGTGTGGGAACAGTGGGACTGCCACTTGGTCACCACAGAGGGCTTGTCCCCACGAGTCCTGCTCAGGGCCTGCCTTCCCGTTTGGGGGATTTGGGGCCGACGCTGCTTCTGAGGCACTGAGGATATCATGCTGACATCATCGCTTGCAGTGTGATCCTTCACTGTGTATCCTGTGTAGTAATGGTCGGGCAGGCAGAGCAGTACCCCAGAGCTCATTGAGGGAGGCCCCAGCTCCTGCGAGATTCCCGCCCATTTCGGGGGCTCATCTCTGAAAACCTGTGTGACCCTTAGGACACAGCTTTTCTGAACCACCGGGAGGGTATGGGCAGGAGCAGTTTTGCCTCATGCAGTGACCATGGATTTTGTTAGGGGAACAGTAGGGTATTGTGGGAAGGTCGGCGGGTTTTCTATTATGTATTAAGTTTGAGTAGAACAGAGTTTGCAGCTGTGCCTGGTGTTTGCCCTTCTGGGGTCTGGGCTTCTCCCTGGTTGTCTCCCCCAGGCAGTGGGTCAGAGTCGAGGAGCAGAGACTGAGGGCCCCGGGCAGGAGAGCCTGAGCCCCCTTCAGACAGGCCTTGGGCACCAGCTTCCACATGCGAGAGGACCCAAGTTCTCAGCCTGATGGCCTCGCTGCAGAGCCATTGGGCTGGGACACCCCGTCCCCGTGATCAGTGTCCAGGGAAGACGAGGTCCATGTGCTAGTGAAAAGAGCAGCACTAGAAACGCTAGAAGAGTCTGCAGAGGCGACTGTTTCAAGCGTGTGTCTAGGGAAGGGGGTTCCTGGGGAAGTGGGAGTCTGGGGATGGGCTCTAAATGTCTGGGTTCCCCTGCTGCACCTTTTATTGGCAGGGAGCAGCACCGGGCCAGCTTTGGGGAGAGGTCTGGGAGGCCAGCTGGGGTGGGGGCACATCCTGCCCATCTGCACTTTGCTGGTTTGAGGGTAAATTTGGAGTTGGGGGCCCAGTGTTGCAGTGTCACGGACATGAGGGTGAACCTGGCTCTGCAAAGCTTTCTCCCAAGCTCTTTGGTCTCTGTCATCTGCCCCACCAACTTTGAGCTTGAGAAATGGTGAGCTTCCAGCACAGCTCGGGACGACCTGTGGGGTGTGCTTCGGCCACCACACCATGGGGCTGGCCAGGCGCAGGAGGGCATTTTCCTTTTTGGTCTCTGCTCAGAGTGGTCCTGGGCAGTTGTCCATCCTGCTGCCCACAGGAAGTGAGTCAATGACAGCTCTGGAACGTGGCCCACACAGGACGTGGTACCTCCCACATCAAACAGAGGCCCACATGGCAGGGTCGCCTGTGGCTTGTCACCCTGCTGACCTCAGTGGCCATTGCCTGCCTCGCCCACTTGTGTCCACAGCTGCATGTCTGCAGACCTCGCTGGCGCGGGCACTTCTCTGAACACATGCTGGTAACGTTCACCTGTCGCCCTCTTCCCATAACAGGTATCAGTATTACCTGCAAGTCAAGAAGGACGTGCTGGAGGGCCGGCTGAGGTGCTCGCTGGAGCAGGCGGTTCGGCTGGCTGGCCTGGCCGTGCAAGGTAAGACAGGCTCTGGCCAGGACTGGGCTGGGGGGCCACGGCGGCCTCACTCTTTGGCTTCACTGGTCACCCCTTCTTCACTTCCCCAGAGCTCATGCTGAAAGCACAGAGCTGGTGGCCCTTTTTTTTTTTTTTTTTTTTAAGATTTATTTATTTATTTATACAAGCCCTGCATACAGTCAGACGCGCAGGAGGGTGGGAGAATTAACCAGAGCCAGAGCGGGGAGCAGAACAGGCAGACTGATGAAATACACTGCTGAGGGGAGCAGCGGGTGGGCAGGAGAAGTCTGTGCGCCATGTGGGACCCTCACCGGTGGTTGGGGATCGAACTGGCGCTGCAGAGGCTGTGGGCAGCTTCGCAGCCCAGCGCTCAACCACTGTGCCACCAGGGGAGGCCCAGAGCTGGCGGCTTTGATGGCAGGTTGGTGGTTTTCTCAAGCTGGTTGCTGCCGGACCATGCTTGTCTGGTTTCACTTCTGTTTGACAAAACAGCAGCTTTTCTCTGGCCTCCAGCAACCACCATGTGGTGCTCAGGCCTGGGCCATGGTCTCTGCAGAAGCCCGGGGCCCAATGTGGCTGTGTGTGGCTGGCGGCCCCCAGTGTGAAGCTGGGAGCACTGTGGTGGTGATCCTCCTCCCTATAAGCGAGGGGAGGTGCTTAAGCCCATTCTTGTAACGTGAAGCAACAGAGGCCTCCTGGGTGGGGTCATCCTTCAGGTTGCTGCAGTGGGTTTATCAGCTGTTTTTGACTCTTCCTCTGTGTCGTTAAATGTGTCTTCACGTGTGTTTATGGGTAGTATTGTCAAATTTTTTTTTCTTAACCTCATTTGCACGTCATTGGATGCGGGCAGGTGTCTGTATTTATGCTGAGAACCAGGATGAGGTGATGATTTCTAAAGAGAAGCGTTCCTCTTTGGTCATTCTTTTCTATAATTCGGCTGATTGCAGACATCAGCGCCCTGTGCTTGTGTGTGGGCTGCGGCTTGAGGAGCTGTTAGCTGAGCCTCCTCCCAAACTCTGAACCGAAGTTGGGCATTTGGGTCCTGAAATGTCAAAAAGGCAGCATCCCTTGACCTCCCTCCTTTCCCGAAATTAACAGTGGAACGGTTTTTCTTGGACCGACGACCCCTGGGAAATTGCTTCTGTGGTTACCTGGCAGGTGGGAGCTCTTGAAATGCATGACTCACATCTGCCCACCTGCAGATTGCAAGGAGGGGCGGTGACACAGGAGGATGGGGTGCCTGGCCACCATCCCAGGGGAGGCCCCAGAACAGCGGCGAAGACACTCAATTGGGAGAGAGACATCCAGCTGTTCTCCATCTTCAGATTAGGCCCTTCTCCAGAAAAGTGTTCTTTTCTGTTCCCTTTACTGTCTTTCTCCCCTCCCAGCCTTCCATCTGAGGCTCGGAGCAGGCTCCCTGGCTGTGCAGGGCCGCGGCTGAATAGAAGGTGTGAATGCACCGTTTCTCTCCCTTGGATCTTCAAAGCTAGCAGTTCAGTCTCATGAAACCTCCTCTAGCTGTGATATTTCATGAGATAGTTGTCCCCAGAAACCCTACTGGGCTGTTAGAAAGTCGCATCAACAGAGATGCGGCCGGTATGAGGGCTAATGATGAGAACAGGTGGGGATCCATCTTTGTTACCCCCTTCCCCCAGCCCCCAACAGTTCTGAGCTGAGCTTGCAGCAACCTTTGCCTTCTCAGCAGCGTCCTCCCACCAGCTGCCTCACCGTCTGCAACTCCTTCACCGTAAAGATACCTGGGTTCTGTTCTGCCCAATGCCACGTCTTTGACATGACATTAAAGCTGCAAGTTGGCTTGGGTTTCTTGTTTTCGAGAGCGGGGTAGGGTGAAGGCGGAGGTCGGTGGATGGATGTTAGGTGGTGGGCACAGGCCCTCTCTCATGTCCAGTCATACCACCTTGGATGGAAGAGGCAGGGAAGAGGATTTCTGGTGCCTGCGACATGTGAAGGTGTCAGAGGGTGCAGAATCACAGGGTCACTCGCCAGGGGTCACAGGGTGCAGAGCCACAGGGTCACTCACCAGGGTGGTTTGCAGGGGGAGTCCCAGCCACAGACATGTGCAGAGATGCAGATGGGTTCGGCTCCTCAGCGCTCTGTGAACCTTGAGCTAGAAGGTTCCCAGCAGCACCTTCAGAGATGTGTGGATGCCGATTTCACCAACAGATAAGTGTGGGTTTGTTTTGAATTTTTAAAATTGCCATTAGGAATTCCTGTCAAGTTTCCCCATTCTTACTAGAAAATTGCAAGTCAGTACTCACACAAATATTTACAGAATTGCTGAGTAAAAGGGTGACAACAGCTAACGCCTCGACGCTGTGTCCACGTGACGACAGCTGGATACTGTGAGGCAGGAAGGGCAGATGTGGCGAAAGTCCCCTGCTCTCTTCTATTTTTAATGTCATGTAATAAATACTGCGCTTCTCTCCTTTCCAGCTGACTTTGGAGACTATAATCAGTTTGATTCTCAAGACTTCCTCAGAGAATATGTGCTGTTTCCTATGGTAAGTGTAATTTCCTTTGTTTTAATTAATTCTTGACCTTGTTTGGTGTTTAATTCTTTTCTTGAAAATCCCAGAGCGTTGTTGGACATAGCATATTTATCCCAAGGAGCTGACTGTCCATGCCTTTATAAGACATGGATTGTATTGCTGTATGTTGTCGGTACTTCTGGAAGACACTCCAGCTCCCCTCTTTCCTCGCCCCCACGCCTGGATCTCTCACTCCAAACACTCGCCTGTGCCCCTTCCAGAGCCTTGTGCTCGACTTCCTATGCCTAGAGGCATCCCTGGGCCTCTCGTGGCTGCTCCTTCTCATCTAGGTCTTGGCCCCCTCGCTGGGCAGGTCACCACCTAAGTGATTGCTTCTGGCCAACACTCCTTCCATGTGTGGCTTCTGGCTCTCAGCATCTGAAATCGTTCCTTCTTTCTTTTTCTGTTGAGCCTGGGAGGTCAGCTCGGTTGCCCTCAGGTGAGGCCTGTCCTGGTCCTCTGCCGTCTGGGGCGAGATTGTGCTCACGGGGACTTGTTGAACGAGGCTGGGAAGGAGCTTCCCACTCCCGGTTGGGTTAGGGAGGAAATGAGGTTTTACTCTCCGGGGAATTTTTGTGTATGTTTGGGCAGCTTCAGGGTGAGGGAGAAAAGTCTCGGGGAGGACGTGTCCGGCATCTGAAGGGCTGCCTTCTGGACGAGCTCTGGCCCTGGTGCTGGAGTCATGACCACTCTCTGGGCCAGCCGTCTGCCCAGAGCTCTGATCTGGGAAACCAGCCTTCTGTGGGCGGCTTTCCAGGCAGCAGGACTCGTCCTCAGGAAGAAGGCAGAGCCACGTATAGCAGAGTGACTGGCTGGCACGTGGGGGCCGTGTACTTGGGGTCTGGACTCATGGAGTGGGACTGGTGGCCTCAGGACAGCCAGGACTGTTGCAGGCGGAGGGGAGGGGGTCGGCGGTGGAGGTGTGGACAGAGTGGGAGTTGCAGGACCTGTGCGGTGGCTGCTGGTCAGCGGCCGGTCTGGCTGTTCCTTTGGGCATCAGGGGTGAGTAAAGGCCAACGAGGCCAAACCTCTGAGGGCCAGACCCTTGGGGCTCCTCCCGGGGTGGGGCAGCTTCCACTCTTCAGTTGCTGGTTTCCAGCCCAGGGTGTTGGTGGGGGGAGCAGACAGGAGCCCTTCCCAGTGTCGAGGCAGGAGCGAGGACTTGGGTTGAGCGGAGGCGGTAGTGACCCTCAGGCAAAGCAAGGGTCCTCTGGAAGTCAGATGTGCAAGACTTGGCCGTGGAGATGTGTCGGTCTGGGGACCAGTGTGTCTGGGAGTGTGGGGTAGTAAGGCTGCCAACACCATCCTCACCGCATGGGTGGAACCAAGCAGGTGAATGGTCAGCTAATTGTAAGCGATATGGCCCCTCCCCTACCTTGCATGTCTTGGCTCCATGAGTACAGCCGTAGGATCCGTGGGACTGCCCCTTCCTGCGCCTTGTTAATCTGCCTGTCAGTGCACCTCCATTCCCAGAGAGCATGTCTCACTTAACAGAGGGCTCCTCCTCGGAGTCCCAGTGCCACGCACTCACCCACGGCTGGGCTGAGCCTGCTGGGAGCCCAGGGTTGCTGTACCTGGGATTGGGAGAGCCAGTGTGCTGGTGTCACTGCGACCCTGCCCTTCCCCTGACTGAGGGAAGAGGGTGTCCTGACACCCTGATTGTTAGAATCATGTAAAGGCTGACAAAGCTTCTTTAAAGGGCCTCAGCCTGAGAGGCAGGCACGAGGGCACAGGCAGGCTGTTCCCAGGCCTGCGGAGCTCATGGGGCCGAGACCCTCTGTGAAAGTAAAGCCAGTCTTTGGCCCCCAAAGGCAGCCTTGATTCTGTAGGAGCCAAGGGGGCACTGAGGAAGTGGGTTACCAGGGAACACCCCAGAGAGCAGAGCGTCCAGGGATCCCAAGCCAATAGCCGCTGGCCTAACCTGCTGTCTCTTGGCTAGGACTTGGCCCTGGAGGAGGCTGTTCTGGAGGAGCTGACCCAGAAGGTGGCCCAGGAGCACAAAGTCCACAGGTAAGGGGGGAAGGAGCAGGTCAGGCCTCCCCCCACCCAGCTCCACTCCACTCCTCCTTCCAGCATCTGGTTCAGCTGCTCTGAGAGGTTTGCTCCCTCCCCCCTCGCCCCTCCTTCCTCCTTTCCCTCTTCTCACCTCCTCTCCCTTCCTCCCTCCCTCCCTTTCCCTTCCATTTCCTTCCACCCCCTCCTTCCTCCTTCCCTCAATTTCCCTTGCTCCCCCTCTCTCCTTCCTTTTCTCCTACCAGACATGAGAATCCTGAACTCTGTCCCCAAGCTTGGCTGGCCCCGAGCTGCACTGATCCTGAAAACCCAGAAGGAACCTCACCAAGCCCTGAACCTGTGTGGGGCTGAGCCTGTGTGGGACTGCTTGGCCCTACCCCACAGCAGCCATGTCCCTCTGCCCTCAGGGTCCCGGCGCTCCCAGCTTGTCCACTTGATGCTCAAACTCTCATTTTCATTTTCTCCCCCTCTTATTAACAGTGGAGATATTTCCCAGGGAGAAAGCCACCAGCATTGTCCACAGGCCTGTGTGGAATAATCACTCAGTGTTTATGGTGCTGCGGCTCGTCACTAGATACTTGACCGTCTGGTGGGACATCTTGTGGGGCACAGCCAGAGCCTGGGCAATGCCCTTGATGTCCCGTGGCTCCTGGGGATGGGGCCAGGCCCCCCAGAGCTGCTGTCAGGAGGGTCAACCCTGCCCCACAGTGCCCTGACCTTCCTTCCCATGTCCCTTCTGATTTCAGCGGGATCCTGCCAGCTGAGGCCGAGCTCATGTACATCAACGAGGTGGAGCGTTTGGATGGATTTGGACAGGAGATCTTCCCCGTGAAGGTAGCATGCTGCGCCCGCTGTAGGCGGCACCACCGTTGGGGAGAGTGGCCTCATGGCGTGTGGCCTTGGTGGGCGAGTCCTCCTCACTTTGGGTCAAGTGAACACTTTTTCTTAACACCAAGCACTGGGGTGTCAGCCTGGATGGCAGGAGCAGTCTTGCTCCTTTCTAAGACAGCCTGAGAGTGAGCACCAAGGCTACCTGGCCCTGTGGTGGGCACCGCCGGTCTCCCTGGGACAGGGCGAAGGTCCTGGTTCCTTTAGAAGGCCCCTCCTTGCAGGTCCCCCCAGGCTTGCTCTCTTGTGCCCTCCCTTGAGCTGTGATGGGGCTGATGACTTGTGTGCGGGGTCACCACAGCTTCTTTCTCCTGCTCTGTTGGGTTTCCAGCCCCTTGGGTGTTCTCTGGAAGTTGGGACACTCTTACCACCCATCTCGCCTTTTACAATGAACCCCCTTCCTGAAGTAGGGGGGTGGAGGGGTCACCCTCCACCGCTGATCCCATCACCCAGGTCTGTTTCTTTTCTCTGCTGACCAGCTACACAAAAGACGGAGTTTCATCAGAAACCTAAAGCAACTGGCATATTCCAGCAATTTGGGAGATGCCTGCAATTTCAGCACAAACATTTCACTCCAAACTGGCTCTGCTGGCTGCTTCTAAGTGTTCTGTTCCCCCTCTTTACACGTTTGCAATTTGCCATAATGAGAACCGCCCGTGTGTATCAAGGGGACTGGGCAGGGTGGCCGCAGCTTGCGGAAAGGGCTAAATGGCTCTTTTTTCGGTTTGTTTAATTTTCTTTTGTTTCTCTAATGGCCGCCCTTCATAGGGCTGTAATCCATTTTTCCTGCAATAATGCCTCATGAAGCCATCTGCATCCCACTTCTGCCTCGGCAGCCCATATATAGTCATGATGTTTGGGGTCATTGAAAAATCTGCATAAACTTTTCTGCACTTCTAGAAAACTTGCTTTTGGTCCTTGGAGTCAGGGGCTTGGTCGCCATTTGCCTGTGTTTTCAGTAACTAAACTGCGGAAATAGGGCAGATGAATTGTGGTAAAATCCATGGTGTGGTTCTGATGCTCTTTTTTTTCTTTTTAAGATTTATTTAGTTATACATACAAGAACTGGGGTGCAGGCCAGAGGTGGCGGGATGTGAGAGAATCCACCAGAGACAAAGTGGGGAGCAGAGCAGGCGGATCCACTGCAATCCACTGCTGAGGGGGCAGTAGGGAGATAGGAGAGGTCTACTGCACCATGTGGGTCAGCTCCCTGGCCGGGACTCGAACTCAGGCTGCAGTGGCTGGCGATAGCTTGATAGCACTGAGACTTTAACCCCTTGTGCCACCAGGGAGGTTCTGATGCTCTTTCTGGTAGGTTCTGCAATGGGGAAAGGACTACAGGGCCCTGGGCCTTCCCTGAGTGGGCAGTCACTGCTGGTGGGTGGATCTGCGTGGGATGGTGTGTTCTCTTGCCCCACAAATCTATTCATGACGGAGAACCTGCAGATTGAGAATTCATGGTGAGATGAGGGCTGGTGGGGCAGCCGTTTTGGGGGGTGGGTGTGATCAGCTCTGGGACAGGTGAGCAGAGCCAGAAAGGGATGGCCTGCTAGGGAGGCCCAGTCCAGGGCCTCACTGCCCTCCATGCAGCATGGGGAAGAGCGTTTCCATGCAGTGTGGGTTTTCCATGAGAGGGTCCTTCGGCTTTTCAAGGCCCACAGCCTCTGCTCCTCCACACGCAGGTGGCTGCTGCCTCCATCACTGCTGTGTCACCAGAGCACAGGCGCAGAGGGTGGAATGTTCCAGCAGACTCTGAGCCCCAGTCCTTTACAGAGTGGTTTGTGAAGCCCTTCATCCTCGGCCAGAGCCATCCCCAGGCCTCAGTCTCAGGCGGGGTCCTCCCAGACCTGACAGGAAGTCTTTCTACAGAGTTTTCTTTCTTCTCCCGCCTCCACCTCCTCTGCGCGCTCTTCCCACCTAGTTTCTATGGTAGACTTAGCTTCTCAGCCTCTTACAGTCATGGGGGACATAGGGTGTCTCCTCTCCTCTCCTCCCCTCTCCTCCCCCATTCCTGGTGCTGCTTTGCCTCAGGCTTGTCTTGCCCCTTTTCTGTCCCTGCTGGAATGTGAGCATGGGGGCGGGTTAGGGTCACAGAGCAGGGCGCTCAACTGCTCTGCTGGGGTCCCCTACTCTGAGCTGTCCTTGGAGGCCACTCTGCACGCTCTGCACCCCTGGCATCTCCCCCAGGCAGGCACTCTGGGTGCCGAGCCTGTCCCACCTGCTCGCGCTGGTGGCTGGAAGGCGGAAGCTGTGGGCTGGACAGGGCCACACTGAGGATCAGACGCCTGGGGGCCGAGCCAGGGGTCCTTGAGGGCCTGGCAGTGGCATCTGTGGCCCACACATCCCTCACAGAGCTTCCTGTGGCATTCAGCACCACCAGGGGTGACGGGGGACTGAGCATCACCCCGCACAGTGTCTGCTAGGGGCAGAGGCCAACACAGTGAGAGCCAGTGGCCAGGGCCCTGCTAAAGCGCTGCCCCATCTTCTGGGCCTCAGACACAGAACACAGGGATAAAATCAGAGGGGCCTCCAGGGTGTGCAGTAGCTAGGTAATAGGGAGCTTTCAAAAGCAGGTGCCAGGAGGCCCCTCTCCTGGACTGAGGGCCAGCGCCCAGGGTACCCCAAACCCTGGGCTTTGAGCAGTGGCCTCGCTGCCCACAGGGGGAGGTGGCCATGCCTGCCCCTTCCTGCTTTCCCACCAGCCCTGAAGACTGACTGGGGTCCCAGCCGCGGCACCTCTCTGCATGTGGCACCTGTCCACAGACATAGCTCACGGGTGAGCCTAAAGATGCCAGCAGAGGTGAAAATCAGGTGTTAGTAGATGTTCGTGACCACCCCAAACCCGAGAGAAATCCTATAGTTTTCTCAAAGAGCCGTGGCAGCTAAGGAACACGTAGCCTGCCAGGCGGGTGCTGGGTCCCAGGCCTGCTGCCAGGCTGCCTCCTGTGGGAGACCCCCACCCCACTGTGGCTTGGCAGGGATGTGACCCTCGGGGCGCGGGGAACTCGCTGGCCTCTTAACTCGGCCTTCCTGTTTCCTTTTGAAGGACAATCACGGTAACAGTGTCCACCTGGGCATCTTCTTCATGGGGATTTTCGTGAGGAACCGGGTTGGGAGACAGGCTGTGATGTACAGGTAGGCCTGCTGCACCCCCTTCTCCTTGGGGGGCTCGGGAGTCCCTCATGGGTGTAAGACTGGGGAGCTGGCAGAGCCTGGGCCTCCCTGGCAGAGTCTGGGTGGGTCTCCCCTGGGGGCAGGGCCTGTGCTGAGGCCTGAGGGCGCCCCTACTGCCCCTGGTGTCCGCCCAGCAGGAAGGGCTGAGTTCCAGACTGGATGAAGGGATGGTGGGAGTCTGGAGGGGTGGTGGAAGTCGGGTCCAGGTGGATGGGAAGGTGTGGCCGGCCCTCCTGGCTGCTGGTTATTTCTGCCTCTGTCACTTTTTTTTTTTTAAATGATTTATTTATTTATTTATACAAGCACTGGGTACAGTCAGAAGTGCGGGAGTGTAAGAGAATTCACCAAAGTCAGAGCGGAGAGCAGAGCAGGCAGACTGACGAAATACACTGCTGAGGGGAGCAGCGGGCAGCAGGAGAGGTCTGCGCGCCATGTGGGACCCTCACCTGGTGGCCGGGGATCAAACTGGTGCTGCAGAGGCTGCGGGCAGCTTCACAGCCCAGCGCTCAACTGCTGTGCCACTGAGGAGGTCCTCTGCCTCTGTCACTTTTGATGCAGTTTCCTGAAAAAGCACACGTGTGTGTGCATGTGCACACGTGTGTGCACGAGTAAACACTGGTGGGACCTGCTCTAGGGCTCGTCAGTCTAGTCTGTATTTCAGCACAGACCTATGGATTCTTAGGCCTCGATTCCTGGACACGCACCTCTAAATACATTCCTCCTCCCTGTGAGACAGTGAGGCTTGCAGGAAGTGCCCTTCCAGTTGGGAAATGGGGGGGCGAGGGTCGCTGCATGCAGAGCCCCTCACAGTCGGCCAGAGAGGACGCTGGGTGGACAGCATGTAGGGTCTGTGGCATGAGGGCTCTCGGGCGTCAGGGCCATGGTGCCCCTTGCTCCCATGCCTTGGGAGACGGCTCCCATTCTTTGCGGCCCCACGTAAGGGGCAAGTGTCTGGTGGTGCGGAGACTGCTCCTGCAGCTCAGGCTCCATGTGTGCAGGTGGGGCGACGTGGGCCACATCAGCCACAGCAGGTCCACCATCCTTGCCGAGCTTGCGGGCAAAGAGGAGACGGCCCTCTTCCATACGGTGAGTGCCGCCCTGCCCTGCCCTGGCCTGGGGCCTGCCCCTCTGGCCCAGCACCCTCCTGACTACAGCAGGGAGACTCTGGGGCCACGCTGAGGTTCTTCACCTGTGTGGGCCCCTCCCCGCCCCTGCCAGGTCCTGGCCCCCAGTACCTGGGCACCCGCAGGGGAGCTACGCCTACTCTCACCTGCCGTGGGGTGAACCGAGTCTGACCTCCATGCTGGGGCTCAGCGCCAGGGCTGCTCTGCCTCGACCCTCACCTCATGCCTGCAGCTGGCGTGGGGCGAGGTGCCAGGGCATCAGGGTGGCCCTGCCAAGGGCTGCGAATTTCAGCACCTTTCATGCCCTCGGTGTGTCACACATGCGGCATGAAGGGGTGGGGGGGGCGCATCTAGAGAAGTACCTCCCTGATCCCGCAGGTGCTCATTTGTCCCCATCTCCTCTTGTCCTAGGATGATATCGAAAATGCCAAGTATATTTCGCGGTTGTTTGCCACACGGCACAAGTTTTATAAACAAAACAAGATCTGCACTGAGTGAGTAAACTCCTTCTATGGCGGGCCTGGTGACTCCTGTGCGGCCCTGTGGCCAGCACCCCTCACTCCTGCTGCTCTCTTCACCCCGAGGCCATGGAGGGAGGACTGGGGGCTGCCGAAGCCGGTGAGGCCGTGAGCCCGGAGTGGGCAGTGTTGCCTGTGGGCTGGGGCCCCGACTGCCTGGACTGGTAGGGGCCCTGCTTCATGCCTTCCTGCCCCTGCTGAGTTTGCAGGCGCCCCAAGTTCTGCACAGTCTGTCAGGGACCCCTCGGTGTCAGATGTGGGGTGCACTGGAGTTGGGGCAGAGTGTTGAGCTGGCTTGCAGTGAGGGAGTAGCTGCATCCTCTGCCGGCACAGCTGTGGCCCCCGTGTGTCCTCTGGGGTCAGGCCACCGCGGTCCAGGAGAGGCTAGGCGCTAAGAGAGGGCACGAATCCAGCTGTGTGCTTAATTTAACTGTAGATCAAGGTGATGCAGGGCTGAGGAAGGAGCTTGACCGTGCCCTGGCCTTGGCTGGAGCCTGCCGTGGTGCCTACCGTCGTGGCCTCCAGCTCAGTCGCCTTCCACGCCCCTCAGCAGAGCACGTGGCAGTTGGGGTGCCCAAGGAACTCAGTTTTGTTTCAGAGAACTCCGGGGAGGTAATGCAGGGGTCGAGCTGCATCCTGCCACCCTGTGGGCACATCTGAGTGGGAGGTTGGCGGCCCTGCCCACCAGTCAGACAACAGTGCCTCAGCGCCATCCCAGGCTTTGTCTCCAAGCAATGGGTGAACTTTTCAGACCAGCCCCTGCCTTGCTCCCTGCTGAGCCTGCCGTGGTGGGGTTAGGTTGCAGTGGCGTCATGTAAGCGAACAGCACCTGGGCGGGGACTGGCAAGTGGAGTGGCTGGCCTTGCGGACATACACACTCACCTGCACACACACACACACATACATTCATGTGCACACATGTGCACAGGCACTCACACCAGTCTTTGGAATAGTTTCCCTCAAAGTCACTTCCTGCTGTTCCTTGACCTAGGGGGATATCTTTGATGTCACTGGAATTCTCTACTGGATTTCTGGGAGGGGAATAAGAAAACTGTTTTAAAGAGTGAATTTCACTAGAATCATCTTGTTTGACCATTTTACAGCAACTGTCTTTGGTTAAAATTTACTGGGGATTTGTATTTCTTTTGTACTCTTTTTTTCTACCATCAACAGACATCACATCAGACCATAAACTAAGGCACTTCTGCCTTTCCTTCCTGTCTGTATGGACATGCCCCTCTTCATGCTAACCCAGCAGGGGATGTTTCTACCAGCACACACACATGCAGCCACACACGTGCACATACCACCCATACATGCACACAGCACACATGCCACATGCACATGTGTACACACCACACATGAGCACACACTGCAAGCCACACATAAGCACACACTGCAAGCCACACATAAGCACACACCACGCATATGCATAGGGCATACACATGCATACCGCCTGCATGGTTGGTCCGGTGTGTGGTACTGTCTCGCAGGCTTACACTAGGCCCAGCTGCCCCTGGGCTCCACAGAGCTAGCACCCTCTCAGCAGCCACCCCCTCCACAGACCTCCCTGCCGCCCCTGACTCTGAACAGCCAAAACTGAGGTTTCTGGACGTGCTGCTGGTTGTCATCTGCGGATGGAGCTCCCAGAGCAACCCCGGGCCCCGTGACACTGTGTCCAGCCAGTTGTCAAAAAACCCAGGTCGCCCTCATCTCCCTGGTTTCATAAAAGGTGCTATGTTACCAGAGGCAGGAACCTGAGTGGCAGCAGGAGGAGAGCTCTTCCCGCGGAATTTTCGCTTGACAAAAAGCTCTGTGGGTCTGGATTCTGCTTTTTTTATAATTTCGTTGAGGCCTGTGAAAAGTTCTGACTCTCAGCATCTATTGCTCAAAGGCACTTTTGATTTCAGTTCTCAAGAATGTATGACCGTCTTGCTCCCTCTCATTTTCATTTCTGCATTTTAAAAAATGTATGTTCATTCTCATTCTGGAAAAGACCTGATCCAAAATTGGTGTTATCTGTCATCTTAGTTCAAAGTTCCTTTATATTCTCTTGATATCTTAAAATAGCCTCTTAAAATATTATAAATGTAAATACAAAAATAGGAAATCTATAATTATAAGATTTACCAATATAAAAATAAAAACATGAAATTTTTTGGCTGCTTTGGTCATGAAAGGTTTGACATAAACAAAAAGATACAAAGGAGACACTTTTTAAAATCCCTGCAATAAGAGTGATGTTTTTCCATGTTACTTCCCTCCCAGTCTCATTCTAAGCTCATTCTCCTGTGAGTCTGAAGCACTTACCGCAAATATGACGTGTGTTCTGAACATTGTGAAAATGAACTGAGAATCAGAACAGGAGTCAGAATGTCCTGAGCTCCCCACCCAGAAATGAGTAAGGGGGGTGCTTGCCAGCTGACCTGCGTTTTTCCCACCTTCTCCTCTTATCCATCTGCTCTTTTTGATATGGAAACATGATAATGACCATCCTCATTTTCTCACTTTCCATGCAGACAATCAAATTCTCCACCCCCCATCAGACGCCAGCCCACCTGGAGCCGGTCCTCACTGGTTTGTATAAAATCTTCTTCATCAAGTTTGTCTAACCGCAGGGAAGGGAGGTCGGGGTGACGGGGCATTGGGACCAAACATGACCTGGGGGGATGCAGGCGGGCATCATCTGCCAGGCAGGTGCCACGCATGCCCATGTGTCTGGAGCTGGTCCTTGCACATCTCCACTGGACAGGACTCATACCCGAGACGGTAGCCCTGCCATGGCCAGTAGTGTGTGCCTGACCTTGCTGCCTGCTGTGGGATCGCTGGTTGTGTAGACCTGTCTTGGGTTATTAATGCCTGTGTTGCTTTTACGTTCACGGACATGAATGGAGCGTAATAAACTGGTCAGGAAATATTTTCTAAATGAGCACAAATGGAAGGGTCTGGTTGGTGGACTCAGTGGAACATTGGATAGGAAGATTAAGTGCACATTTTCTGAGGCCAAGGAAATTTGAATCAGTTCCCTTTTTTTTTAACTCTTCTGTGGGAAACATGGGCCTCGTCTCGGTGTGTTCCTTTGCAGGCTGTTTGGTTCTCATGACTGCATAAGGACAGTGTAATTGACTGAGAAGAGGTGGTTCCCTTGGAGTTTTCAAGCCATCTTAAGCCATAAAATTCTCTGTTCTTAGGTTATAATTTTTTTATACAAAAGCCTTTGACTCTAGGTGGGATCTTTTTGTTTTTCTAGATGAACAGTTCTTGGAGTTGATAGGAGAATAAAATTGACATTTTCTTCATGTACAAAGTATGTAAAAGACAATTTTCTTTTAAAAGGAAGTTTTGAGGAGTTTTTTTTTTTTTCCCCCTAGAAAATGCATGTTAAAATTCTAGAACTGGACCACGATGTCCTGCTGTAATAACTCCCTTGTGGCCGGCTGGGCATTTTATTAATCGTCTATTCAGCTCTTGGGCCTGGGTTGGACGCATCTCTGGGGCTGTTCCCGAGGAAGCCAGTGGCTTCGCCCAGGGCTCCGCTGCCTTTGACAGCTCTTCTTTGTCACGTTATTTTCTCTTTCCCTGCTGTAGCGTGCACACGACTTAAATGTGAGATGATTTCTCATTTCTCTCTTCATGCCCCACGGAGGCTCGATGCTGTAAGGCGCTCTGTGACCCCAACCCGTCCTCTTTATCTCGAAAAGACCCAGACTTTCCTCTTGCGTCTGGACGGCCACAGTCTGCCGGAAGCAGATTCCAGGCCTCCTTTTTGTCAGCCCCTTAGGTTTAAACCATTTTACTAAGACTTCCTTGGCGTGTGAAAGAGAAAACTTGATAACAAGGTTATACCCTTTGGCTTCCTTGCTGATAACGAGGGCTGCCTGTGTCACAGCATCTAGGTTTTGTTTTTTTTTTTTGTCTTAGCAGGGCTGGAAAGAAAGTGAATTATCTATTGAAAAATGGACAAAAATGAAATAGATGCTAGAACCTGAAATGGTGTTTGGAGAATGCACATAAGTCAGTTTATAAACGGTCACTTACTTACTGAGTTGTTTTTTTAAAGCAGAGCTAGAGATTGACTTGTTTTTTTTTTTTTTTTTAAATCAGAGCATGAGCAGCCAGGAAGTAGCTCTGCCTTGCCATGAATTTCTTTTCCCTGGTAGCGCCCCTCCCCTTCTTCTTGGTAGGCCTCAAACCTGGCTCTTCTGTCCAGGAAAAACTGAGTTGAATCAGTATTACTAAGAAGAGGGAAAATATTTTTAGTTCTAGTGCAGAAGCCAAGCTGAAGGGAGGTTGGGGAATATTTCGTGCTTTTCTGTGGTGCCCTGAATTATTTCTTACATTGCGCTCAAGCCTTCATTTCTTTTCCCTGGGTGGTCCTCAATTTTTGCATCATGGGTCTTCACTGCCTTCCTTATCTGCCTTTTGATGCTTAAGTATTAATTGGAGCAGAAGAAATAGTTGATACATTACTTACCAGCTTGCTTTCCCTAAGGGGTTCTGAGAAAGTGTGACCCCTGCTGGCTTTGGGTTTTTTGGTTTTGCCTTGATCTCAGAGTCTGTCCTAAAACAGTAGCTTAAAATTAATACCCATAAGCCTAATGTTAAAAGAATCAAAGACACATATAAGCGATTAACCCATTTGGTGATTTATAGGCTTAAAATGTTTTTATTTGTTGGCATCAGGTAGACTGTCACGCAGAGCCCCCTGTATAAGAGGGGCCGCATTGGCTGTGGGGGTATGGGGAGGAGGTGGCTCGGTGGGCAGCGCTGGGAATGGGGTGGATGCCTCTGTGGCTGGGGCTCGGCTGTGCTAGGCGGCTGCCCAGGTGGAGCCCCTGTGTTGTCCTGGGGAGGCTGGTGGAGCAGAGTCTCCGTGGGAGGTGGATAGGGTCTTGCATGCTCCACACAGCGGCTCTGCTGTGGGCGCACCTGCAGGTGGCCTGGAGCACCACTCAGTGTCCTGAGCCTGCGGTGGCTTCAGGCCGCTGTCCCTGTGGCTGACGAGACCCTGACAGGCCGCAGACTCATCTATCCTAAAGTCCAAGCTGCAGCAAGGAGCCAATTCCAAACAGGCCAAGTGCAGCCCCCTCACTGTTACTGTCCTCAACTGCCCAGTTCTGAGTTACTTTTTCGAAAAAGGAGGTTTGTGGGGTGTGAGGGCACAGGACTGTGGTGACTGCTTGTGGCCGCTTATGCTGTTTCCCCTGAAATTGGCCTCTTTGTCCCTCTGTCCATCCCATCTTAACCATGCTGGTGAAGTAGGGGTGCCCCTCTGGGTGGGCCAAGCGCTGTCCCTGGGACGTGGTGACGGGGGCCGGTGGTGAGCAGCCAACCTCCAGCCTTTCCGCCCTGTTCAATTCCAGCCCCGGCAGCAGCCCTACATCCTGCCCCCCATGCACGTGCAGTGCAGCGAGCACTACTCGGAAACACACACCTCGCAAGGTGAGTTGCACTTCCCCGAGGGGGGCAAGGGTCAGGACAAGTCAGGGCTCCTTCCCCTCCCCTCCCCACCTCTGGATGACCCTGACCACAGCTTGCTGCTTGCCAGGCAGAGCAAGTTCCCCCAACTGGGAGAAACACTTCCCTGACTTGGTTTGAGAGGGAGCTGGGGGCAGACAGTGAGGGAGGAGTGTGGGGAGCTGGTGGCAGGGAAGGCAGGGCCCCGGTGCTGGGGGAGCCCACAGAAACCTCCACCCCCTCCAGCCATTGCTCCATCCCCCCAGTTGCTCCATCCCCCCACTGCAGGTCTTTCCCCTCTGAGCAGAAGAAATCTCTTGACTCCCCTCTCCTCCCTAAATGCTCCCCTGCAAGATGTATGACAACCCATTCAGATAGTAATGGCAGTGGCAGCCTCCGGGAGAAGCAGCTCCTCTCCCAGTTGCCCTCAGCTCCTGCTCCTGTGTCCCCTCTCTTGCCCCTTGGGAACCAGCCTCCTGGGGCTGTTGCTATTTCCAGTTTGCAGATGGGGAAACTGGGATTATGGAGAGGATATTGGTGGCGCTGAGCTGGGATGCGGCCCACAGCTCCTTGGGGCACTAGCCACAGCTCAACAGCAGTTAGCTGAGGGGACAGTTGGTCCTTGAGTCCATGCCAGCTCAGTGTCGGCATGAAAACAGGACCCCCAAGGCTACCGCATTGAATCACATGGGGATGGCACATGCCCACGGAGGTGGGGAGTCACCCTCAGGCAGCCCAGGCTTGCAGCTCGGCTGCCCTCTGCTTCATCTGTGCAGACGGGCAGTGTGAGAACAGATGGCACTAGCCACAGCAACTGTTCTGGCCGGAGGTTGACTTTCTCAGGGGCGTGTGTGTGTGCTCACACGTGCCTGTGTGTGTAAGGGAGAGGACACCAATAGAGCACCAAATGTGAGAAACCTGCCTTTTATCTCTTGGGGACCTCTGTAACTCATTTTTCTGTGAACTGACCTCTGTGGTGAGACCAGTTCCCGAGGAGCGTTTCAGGCAGTGGCTTACAGAGCTGGCCTTGCCCTCCATTGGCGGCCAGGTGGGATGAGCGGGCACGTGGACTGACCTCATGGCCACACTATCGCCTGTGTCCTCACGAATGCCAGGCACCTCTCGGGCAAAGGCCCACCCCCACGGCAGTGAGGAAGGTCACTCCAAGTGCAGTCACTTTAAATCTGTTCAGGTTCTCAACGTCCTGGTGCAAACGTCCAGCCTTCTTGCTGGACCCCGAACAGGACAGGGCTCTCTGACCCCAGGGTGTTCTTGGTGCCCGAGTTCAAAGGTTGGGCAAGATGGCGAACGTCCCGGGTGAGCTGGGCGCCAATGTGCAGCTCTTGTGCTTAGCGTCACACTCCCTTTTCCACCCACTGTCCCTTCTGTGCGTGGGCCTTGCCAGGATGGTCCCAGGTTTCCTGTGGGATGTGCAGGGGGGAGGTCGTGGTCTCACTGTGTGACCTCTGTGAGCCTGAAGATCCCCCGGGAGTGTGAGGACAGCGGGGGCTCACGAGCCTATGCTCCCCTGCAGACAGCATTTTCCATGGCAACGAAGACGCCTTCTACTGCAACTCCCACAACAGCCTGGACCTCGGCTACCTGAATGGCGCCATGACCAATGGCAGTGTGTGCAGCGTCCACAGCGTCACCTCCCTCAGCTGCTCCCAGAGCTTCGTGCAGGCATCACCTGTGTCCTCCAACCTCAGCATCCCCGGCAGTGACATCATGCGGGCTGACTACATCCCCAGCCACCGGCACAGCGCCATCATCGTGCCGTCCTACCGGCCGACCCCTGACTATGAGACCGTCATGCGCCAGATGAAGCGGGGTGTGTTGCCCCCCGACAGCCAGAGCCAGTCCCTGCGCAACCTCAACCTCATCAACACGCAGGCCTACAACCAGCCGGAGGAGCTGGTATACAGCCAGCCCGAGATGCGGGAGCGGCACCCCTGTGCTGTCCCCTACGGGCCCCCTGGGGGCTATGGCCACCGGCTGGTCGGCCCGCCCGAGCGTGGGGACCCTAGGCGCAGCACAGTGTCCAGCAGGCGAGGTGTCAGTGCCATCTCGCACACGGTGAGCACCCCGGAGCTGGCCAACATGCAACTACAGGGCACTCACCCCTGCAGTGCAGCCCACGTGTTCAAGAACTATCTCTTCCGGCCACCCCCACCCTACCCCCGGCCCCGCCCCGCCACCAGCACCCCTGACCTGGCCAGCCACCGGCATAAGTATGTCAGTGGCAGCAGCCCCGACCTGGTGACCCGCAAGGTGCAGCTGTCGGTCAAGACCTTCCAGGAAGACAGTGCTCCGGTGGTGCATCAGTCCCTGCAGGAGGTCAGCGAGCCCCTGCCGGCCAGCAAGCCCCACGGGGCGATGGACAAGCGCCACAGCCTGGAGGTGATGAGCTGCATGGTGCGGGGCATGGAGGCCATGACCCTGAAGTCACTGCACCTGCCCATGGCCCGCTGCAGCGCGCTCCGGGAGCAGGGCCCCCCTGAGGCAGCCCTGGGCAGCCATGGAACGCCGCCCCCGCCTCGGCACCACCACCAGAAGACCTTCTCAGCAGCCACCATGCTGATCCACAGCAGTGACAGCGAGGAGGAGGAGGGCGCCCCCGCAGCCGTGGCCCCTGTCTCCACGCTCCGTGAGAAGATGGGGTACAGCGCCCAGCTACAAGCAGCCCTGGCACGCATCCCCAACAAGCCCCCCCCGGAGTATCCAGGCCCCCGGAAGAGCGTGAGCAATGGGGCGCTGCGGCAGGACCAGGGCAACCTGCCTCCTGCTGCGGCCAGGGCCCAGGTGCTGAGGCTGGGCCCAGCCAAGGTGGCCAGTGTCGCTCGGGCCGACCAGCTGGCTGTCAACGGGTCGGCGCTGGGCCCGTCCATCTCAGAGCCCGACCTGACCAGCGTGAAGGAGCGGGTGAGGAAGGAGCCGGTGAGGGAGAGGCCAGTGTCTGAGATGTTCTCGCTGGAGGACAGCATCATAGAGCGGGAGATGATGATCAGGGTGAGTGTCCCCCATCCCAGGGCGCTAGGGCACGCACTGGGCTCCCCCTGCATCCCTCCACTCCTCCTTGCACCCTAAGAGGTGGGCTCGTTTTAGGACCCCCAGAACAGCTGTAACTTCAACTTGGCTTGGAGGGAGTTGGTTTCAGCTAGCTAACTGGCTGGGGCAGGGGCCCCAGGTTAAGCGGCCAAGCTCCCTGGTTTAGACACACTTGAAGAAGGTTCTGGGCCTGACATGTTCCACCTCGTTTGGGTGGTGCTTTCCAAGGCCAGCAGGCCTTTTAGACAGGTGCTGTAGCTCTTCCAGCAGAGGGGACTGGGGTGCAGGGCCAGGAGGATGGGGGGGAGGGGCTTCCCAGCTTGGAAAATGTAATTCTTGGGTGGAAAGGGATTTTCAACATTTCCTTACCCCAGATCCTGGTAGAGAAACTCAGTGTTGAGGCCCTGTCAGCCGAGCATTCCTGGCCCCTGCAGACTTGGTTTTTATTGCTGCACATGTGGCATGTAGCCCCCACTTGGCCCTGGCGCTGGCCTCTGCATAGCACCTCCGGCATTACCGGAGAAACCAGGGTCCCTCCATCCACGTCCCTCCCATCCCACCCACTTGGATGGCGACACAGAGCCGAGTCTGCCCTTTACTCAGCCAAAAACTAACTGTCAGCACCATTCTGCTGCATCTTCCGCTGCACTCTCCCCAAATCCTATGTACTTTAGAGTGCTGAGGCCACTACCTCAGGCTGAAACCTGTCCTTTCTCAGGGTCAGGAGGTCTTGGTGAGCCAAGGGCCAGGCAGGGTGGTCACTGGGCTGCAGTACTGAGGCCAGATGTTTTTCTCTCTGCAAGAAATTCCCAGACACTGTCCAAACCCCCTTGCCACAGTGGCTTCACACTTGCTGGAATGGCTGAGGACAGGCCTGTCTAGAATAGGAAAACGAGTGACATGAGCCACGTGGGGCTGGGAACAGGTGCTGTGAGGACTTCCCAGCTTGCTAGCACTCCTGGGTCCTTGTCTGTTGGGTGGGGACTCAGCTCTGCTGCCTCTGGGAGACAGCTCACTGCTGGGGACCCCCCCAAAGCCAGAGCAGGGAGGTGAAAAGGACAAATCAGATCTTTGCAATATTTGTTTTTTGTCTCTGGCAGTAAGTTGGTGGGGTGAGCGGGGCTAAGAGAAATAGTTTGTCACTGAGGTTTCAGTCACCCCAGGAAGGACAGGCAAGTTGCCTTTGGCCTGAGGCCCGATTGGGTCACCTTGTAGAGCAGGTGGGCTAAAAGCAGAAGGAATCTGGGGAAGTGTCCCAGCATCATTTTTCAAAATGGTTGCTTTTCCAAATTTGGGGCCAAACTGAAACAGATTCCCAGGAAAGAGTTGAAGGGGAAAAAGAGTCACTCATGAGAATCAGGAGACAAAATCCTCAGCATTTAGACCCAAACCATCCAGCTCTGCCTGGGAGGAGAGAGCAGGGAACTCTGAGAGAGCTGATCTCGGGGCTGAAGGTCTCAGGTGCCTTCACGGCTCACCTCTGAGAGGTCCTTCTGGTCCAGCTGATGTGTGAGCAGCCACTGAACTGAGCGTCCTGTTGCAGCCTCCCCTTCAGCGTCCAGGCTCTGGCCTGGCTGGGCAACATGGTGCACACACACAGGGCGTGACCCCAGCCCCGCCACCACCGCTTTCTGTGTCATCTGCCTGCTCACGCCCCTGGGCAGTGACATTCTAAGTGATGGGATAAGAAACACAAACCTCAAGTCTTAAGAAGAAAGCAGGAGTGAGTGTCTCCCCAACCAGGGCAGCAGGTGCATCTACAAGTCAGCATCACTGCTGTTTGGATCTCACGTCCTAGACTAAAATCCCCGCTTGGTGATTGTCCCTTTGTCCTTCCGGACATGCCCCCCTCTCCCCAACATCACCCACCTGGCTGCTGGAAGTGCGTGTAGGGAGAACAGTCCATGCCTTGGTCAGGTTCAGGGCCGGAGCCAGTGGTGGACCTACTGACTAGGCCCTGGCCCACCGCTCTGGGCAGCCATGCAGGTGGCGATAGAGCTGCCATTGCCAGTGTCCCGGGCAGTCCATGTCTCTGCCCCCCACAGCCAGGCATGGCCAGGTGAGACTTGCCAAGGTCTCTGAGGGCCATGGTGCCCGTGCTTGGGACCCTCTGGACGCACCATGGAGGTCCATACCTGGGGGTGTCACCTGGAGGCCCAGGCCTTGGTGTGAGCAGCTGCACTCAACTGTATTAGCTTTCACTTTGGGGCTGACACCCCAAGGACCCAAGGTTCGCTGTTGGATTGACACCCCTCGCTGTAGCCCCAGAACGGAAACCTGAGGTTTCTGTGCCCCATTTATGCTTCTGGATCTCAGCAACACAGTAACAGTTCAGCACCTTTTAACCTGCGAAGAGACCTGCCGCTGTGAGGGGCTTGGCTTATCCATGAAACTTCCCCTACTTGGTTTCCCAGAGAGGCCCCCTTCCCCAGACTGCCTCACGTGCCTGCAGCTTCTGTCATCCTGTGGCAGCGCGTACTTGTAAGGGGTCTTTGATTTACTTGTTCACCCATCCATCCCTCCATTTTTAAGAAATGCAAGTACAGGAGTCCTTGGAGTCCATGTACTTGGGGCGCAGTGGGGTTCCTGGGGGGCTGTGTCTGCATCCGCCTGCCGTCATGGCAAGCGTCTGCATTCCTTGGCTGGGGAGTTGCAGATTTGGGGAGATTAAAACACATTCCAGCATTCGGCGGGTATCGTAAACAATGAGAACATGCCTTTTCTTGCCACAAGAATCTGGAGAAGCAGAAGGTGGCGGGCCTGGAGGCACAGAAGCGGCCGCTGATGTTGGCAGCGCTGAACGGGCTCTCTGTGGCGCGGGTCTCGGGCCGGGAAGACAGCCGAGGGGATGCCGCCCGGGCTCCTATGGACGAGCGGGTAAGCCCCATGCCTGTCAAGCCTGTGACTCACCCTGTGGCCCCAGGATTCCAAAGCATGATCGTGCCCGAACATGCCAGCCCTGGGACTTGTTGGATGAATTAATCCTTCCTTGTGAGAGCAGCCAGACCTGGTCTGTGCTGTGTGAGTCCAGCTTTTCCGGCACTTGCTGCTGTTTTGCGGGGTTGCTGCAGTGATCTGTGTCTGAAAGGGGGGCTTCCCCGGGGGCCTACGGGTTAGTCTTAGCGCTGTCACCCCAACAGCCTGCATTCCATTCCCGGACAGGGAGCTAACCCACAGGGCGCAGCAGACCTCTCCTGATGTCCCTGTCTCCCCACTGCTCAGCAGTGTATTTCAGTGGATCCGCCTGTTCTGCTCCCCACTCTGTCTCTGGTGAATGCTCTCATCCCCGCATCTCTGGCCTGTACCCCAGTTCTTGTATGCATAAATAAATTTTTTAAAGAAGATTAAAAAAAGGCAGCCCTGCCCAGCCCCAGGCCTGGGCCAAGTCCTCTTCTCTGCCATGGTCTCCTGACCTGCAGCGCAGGGGATGAAGCTGCTACCACTGCTCTCTAGGCTCTTGGTAGAGCTCCACATATTTGCAAGTGGTTGTTTCACCTGAGCATTATGGGATTCTTGTGCTGTGCTGTCCCCTGGCTTATAAACAAGGCTGGTTTATAAATGTTTGATTGATGCATTGTGGGAATTGGGTTTTGAAAGACAAGTGAAGCGACGTGCTTGTCCTCTGGGTGTTAGAGAGATGTCCCTGTGGATCCTGGAAGGAACCTGTCCATGGGTAAGAAGTGGGCCGGGACACTTAACAGTGCTAGTCACACCAGGGTTTTAGATTTCTGCCAGGACAGATGAAGTCTTCAAATGTTGTTGGAGCCAGATGGGAGTTTAGAGGGTCATTTCACCCAATTAATACCATATTAGTGTCATTAACAGTTTGACCATGGGAAAAATGAAAGGAGGGGGAACTGTATCCTTATGGGTACAGAACCGTGGGCCAGTAGTATTTTCAGGTTTAGCTTAGTAAAAGCAGCTCCATGAGTGGCGAAAAGGTGTTTGGATAATACAGATTAACTAACACTATATCAGCTGGAATTTTAACGAATCTGTTAATACCAAATATAATGAGTGCTGAAGAATTTCAGTCCTATCCTGCTCATGTAGATTTGTTCTGTTTAAGGTCTGAGCAAGAAGGAAATGGGTTATTGGGTCAGAGGAACGAGTTGTGTGCCTGCAGGCAGACTGAGGAACAAAGCCCTTGTTAATAACAGAGGTCGGGGATTTCGTTGGCGGTTTTCGATCAGATGACTCAGGGAGCTGAAGGTGACTTTCTGTTGCAGTTCAGAACCCTGAAGGAGAAGTTGGAGGACGGAATGGTGTTCACAGAATATGAGCAAATCCCAAAGAAAAAGGCAAACGGCCTCTTCAGCACGGCTGCACTGCCCGAGAACACCGAGCGCAGCCGCAGCCGCGAGGTGGTGCCATACGAGGAGAACCGTGTGGAGCTGGCACCCACCAAGGAGAACAGCACAGGCTACATCAATGCCTCCCACATCAGGGTGAGGATGGGTGGGCTGGGGGGCTTGGGTGCTGCTTCTGGATGAAAATGCAGGGAGGAGAAAACACCCAGTGACAGACAGGTGTCTGGGCCACACCCCAGGCCCAGAGGGACAGTTCTTGAATGCCTGCACTGCCCTGGACCTGCTGGAAGGGCCAGGCCTCTCCTGCCAGGGCAGGGGGGAGGCGTCGAAAAATCCTCAGGTCAGCTGTTCTTCCTCATTACCGGGGCTTAACTTCTCTTCTGGATTATAGCGCTCCCTGAAGCCCCAGGGAAGACACGGGACTGTCCCTTGCCTCTGTGACTAGCACAGGACACCAGGCACAGGCTCTGAGTGGCTGCCGTTGCTGGGTGTCTCGCCCCAGGCCTGGCTCTGTGTGGCTCCAGGAGCTGCACGGGTGAGGCAGAACCCACAGAGGCGTGTCAACATTGAATCTTCCACGTCGACGAGGTTGTCCATTATTGCAGCCAGGACATTTGTGAATGTTTCAGATACTTCACCCTTCATGTTTCAGTATTTTGTGGACTTTGAAAGCCATCAGCTGAGCTCATCCTGGTCAACGTTACAGGCAGAGGTGTGCGAGCGTGCGTGCAAATATTTCTGAACTACTGGGTTGTCGGAAAAGACATGACTCATTTTCCAACAACCCAACAGCTTACCTTCCTCCATGTCCCTGCCACCAGAGCTTTCTTCAGTGTCACCATTCGCTCTGGCCTCTGGAGTGGGAGAGTTTATTCCTGCATTCATGAAAAGCACTCGATTCAGGATGTTTTTAAATGATACGAGACTCATACTAATAGTCCCTTAAACCCTACATCACAGTGTTATGAACCATTGTCATCTCAATAATAAACATACATACATACAGAACATACATTAATACAAAAAAAATTCAAAAGTAAAAATTTTTGAGACCATTCTAAAGTTACCCCAAAATTTTAAAGATAAAATAAAATCTGCCATGATCAGTCACCCCAGAGAGCTGCTTCTGGGTTTGTCCAACTTCTTGACCTGTTGCTTAGTTCCTTCCAGCTTCTGCAATAACAGCCAGTTGCAGGGGTGGATCTGTCCGGCCAGTTCTGACAGAGGACAGGAGCGGTGTAAGTAGATGGGGCGGGGATTTGGTGCAGAAAGTGCAAAGTTATTTCCATATCAGAAAGTCAAAGAAATGGGAAGGGGCAGCCTTATGGGTCACATTGCTTATTTTCTTCTTATTGGCTTGAGAGTGAGCACTGAGACAAGGCCAAGTGACCCCAGTGGCCCCAAGCAAGCTGGCGATGGCAGCTCCTGCGGCCAGGATCTGGAACGTGCTTGAGCCTGGTCACAGCCACACAGCTGCTGCGTGATGGTGACATCACTGTGCCCACTGTCCTCTCCCTAGGGTCGTGTCTCCTTCACCATGTTTCATCAGCCCTGCCTCATGGCGCTGCTGGCAGAAGCTGCCCCTCCAGTGGCCGCTGGTCCCTGCAGATCCAGGCGCGTTTCACAGGCCCTGCACTTGCAGAAGCTTGTCCGGCGCTTTGGGAGGAGGGTTGAGTGTCTGCCAGTGCTGGGCCCTGGGTTCCAAGCAGCCGTTAGCACAGAAAGGAGATTTATTTGCTCCAGAGGTGGAATCGCATCTGTGTAATCTACCTCGGTAGCACTGGCTGTCGGTTTTTGATGGAGTTTTTAATACTCTCATGTCAATACTTGGATTGTGCCGAAGGCCCCAGGCAGCAGCATCCTCGGCAAGTGTTCGTGGTTCCTGTAGGTTGGGTGCCAGAGAGGCTGATGTTGAAAATACAATTCCATGGTCAAGCCAGACTCCCAGCCCGCAAGCATATGACTAGAGTTCTCTCCCGCCAGCACCTTGAAAATGGATTTTGCTTGCCAGCATTGATCTAAACATTTCTTGTGTAATGAGACAATAACAGACGTTGTTTTGTTTGCATCGAGTGAATGTATGGTTTCATAAAATCAATGAGGGGGAAAGTTTCAACCCATCATTGCTTCATTTTCCAGAACTCTCTGAGGTCTGCACTGGTGGTGTGCAAAGGGGCCTGGCTTTGTGTGTTCAGGCACAGGGGTGAAGGAACCCCAAGAAGGCCCACAGTCAGTGAGGGCGTGGACTGCAGCCTCGGCCACTGCTTCATGGCGATCCTCCACTGGGCAGTGCCCTCTGGCAGCCTCAGCCGCATGCCATGGTTTATCCTGCGCCACCACCTGCTGTTTGGTCAGCTCTGCAGCTGGCTAAGTTCCTATTGACCTCCTATTAGTACTCACAATACCTCCACAGTAGGGGGTGTCACAGAGTCACAGGCTCGGGAGGCATAGGACACACTTCACATCAGACACTGCTGCAAAGCCCTGATGTTCCGTGGCCAATGTTTTTGTGTTTAAAAGATGTCATAGACCCATTTCACAGATGAGTCTCAACACAGCATTTGGGAGTGAGGGCGCAGGAGGCTGAGGTGTTTCTGGAACTGTGTGGTCTGCAGTGCAACTCGTGTCTGTTTGCAACAGCTGGATGTGCAGACAACCTCTGCCGGAGATGTGGCCACAGCGTGGAGAAAGACAAGATGCCAACATTCACGCGAAATGGAAGGTGTCTGGCAGTGACGTGTAGCCAAGCAAGTCAGGATGACAAAGCCAAAGACTGGACATTTACGTGGTAGACAATTTGACACAGTAAAATTCTTAGAGAAATTAGTGGACATTAATAAACTCAGTGAGGGCTGAGGTTGAAGAAGGGCCGGGGGCAAAGGGGCAATGGGAGGGTGTTGGGGAAAAAATAAAAAATAAAAACAAATACTATTTTGGTACAAATAAACGAGGTTCCAGACAGTATCTGTGTCATGCCGTACATGTGTCTGTGCATGTATGTGTGCGCACGCGCGGGTCCTTACTGTGTACTGTGCATATAGCTGCTGTGGGTGTTGGACCCGAGACACTGGGCATGTTTCAGAAGGCCTGAGTGGTGAAGACTGTCCATCTGAGTGTGCCCCTGGCTATGTCAGGTCTCAGGGGTTTGATGATGGCCCCTGCCCACGAGGCCCTTGCTTTGCCCAGGCTGGGTGGCCTGGTCTTGATCAAGGGGAGCCTGCTCTGGTGCGCCACTCACTGGTGCTCTCCTTGGTTGCAGGTGGTGGTTGGCGGGGCAGAGTGGCACTACATCGCCACCCAGGGGCCCCTGCCGCACACGTGCCACGACTTCTGGCAGATGGTGTGGGAGCAGGGAGCCAACGTGATTGCCATGGTGACGGCAGAGGAGGTAAGGGGTGTGGCCAGTGGCCCTTGCTTGGGTGTGGGCGGGCCGTGGTGTTCAGGTGGGTGGCCCGGCTTCCCTCCTGCAGCGCCCCTGGCCTGGCACTTCCCGGGCCTGTTCTGTCTCCATCTAACCTCACTGCACAGACTGGGATCATATCCAAAGATACCATCTGGTTCCGTCCCCCATTCATCCAGATTTCAGCTCTTCCTCTGGACTGAAAGTGTCCTGAACTAAAGGGGAGCAGAAAGACCTGCTTTTTTGCCTACCAACTTACTTTCTTTTGCCAAGCAAGCGATTGGAGAACCCTGGGGCGAGTTGGCTCACATGCTGGTGCTTGTCAGCTTGGGGGGCCAGAAGCCTGCTCCTGGGGCTCTGTTCTTTGAGGAAGAAAGTGTCTTTTTCTTCCTTGCCAAGTCCGGCACCATTTTTTGTTGTAACTGAAGAGTCTGTGTGGGCTCTGGGCCTGGCATCTCGGCCTGCACCTTGTTCGCTTCTGGGGAAGAAACCTCGTCTTACTACGTCCTCAACTCTCACTCGACCCTCTTCTGGGGTCAGTTGAGGGCCTGGCTTCCGCTGTCTTTCCTGACAGTAGGGGTCATATATGTCCTTCCTGACAATCTCAAGGTGAGGGAGTGATGAGAATTAGGAAGGGCTTGTTCCCTCTGGTGGTGGTCTGGCAGGTTTGTGAGAACAGCCCAGGGCACGGCTGTGGTGGCGTACACCAGTGTGTGGGGCCACTGTGCGTCTCTGCACTGGCCTTTGCACAAACAGTAACTTCTCCGTGAGACCTCACAACATCTCCTGAGGGAGCCGCTCTACTTCCTGGGTGTGCCAAGCTCGGGCTGCAGACAGGCCAGCCAGGCAGAGCCCTGCCACAGGGAGCTGGGTCCTCTGGGAGGCTCAGTGACGGGTAGGAAGGAAGCTCCGAGAGGGGTGTGTGCTGGGGGAGGGCGGGGAGCAGGGGGGCCATGGAGGAGCGTGCAGCAGCTGCCCCCCAGCAGTTGCCTTCAAGCTGAAAACTAAGTGGCTAAAGGCCAGTCTTTCATACAGAGAGTAAAGCCCGGGGCTCCACAAATAAGAGGGGTGGCGAGTTTCTAGCTGGAGAAGGCTCACTGATTCAGGGCAAGGTTATCTGCATTGCTCCATCACATGGTGCTTTATTGGGGAGCCTAGTCCAGGAATCTCCAAAGAGCCAGTCCCCGGTGCTGGCCACTTACTTGCAAGCAGAGTCTGTCCATTCACATTTCTCCTGTCCCCACCCACTGCTCTGCTGGCCTCCCCAGCCACTCTCTGCTTCAGCCATTCCAAATTGGGGAAAAGTAGAAAAAAAAGAAAAGAGACCCCATTTAGTAAGTGTCCAAGCGCACATGCCTCATCCTCAGGAAAGACTGTGTGACCTTTAGGGAGGGGGAATGTGTCACCTGTCAGTGTGGCGATCAGCAGCCTTGGCCAAGGGCAGGACCCGGGATGAGCACCCACTGCAGCTGACACTCCCCATCACTTGCGTGGGCTTCCCGGTGCCATGCAGGGACAGCTACACCCTTTCCCAGCTGCGTGGCCTTGGTCATCTCCACTCCCCTGCCCAAGCCTGAGACCCTTCTGCTCTGGACCCCACCCAGACTGTGGCTGGGCCTGCACTTGGCACCAGCTCTTCTCAGTTTTCCACTGATGCAGCTGCCACTGTACGCCTTGCTGCCGGGCTTGGCTCAGACCTGTGACAGCTCAGGTCAGCGCTCCCCTGTGGCTCCTAGGTAACTCGGGTGTTGTCTGCATTTTCCTTCATCCTCAGATTTTAAGACAAAGTGGCTAAGGGCTTCCCCAGTGCTGACTTTTTCCAATTTTGCTTTTGTGCGTGATTCAGGAGAGCGGACGCACCAAGAGCCACAGGTACTGGCCCAAACTGGGTTCCAAGCACAGCTCAGCCACCTACGGCAAGTTCAAGGTCACCACCAAGTTCCGCACGGATTCTGGTTGCTATGCAACCACAGGCCTGAAGGTCAAGCACCTGTTGTCTGGACAGGAGAGGACAGTATGGCACTTGCAGTACACAGACTGGCCTGACCACGGCTGCCCTGAGGACATCCAGGGGTTTCTATGTAAGTTTTCTCTTCCCTGTTGGGTCTCATAGCTGCATCGGTGGCCCCATTAGGAGAGGAAGTGGGCAGAGGCCAAAGTGTTATAACCTGTTAGTCGCTGCCCCTTCCCTCCCCCGTGGAGTGGAGAATACATGTCCATTCTCACATTCTCGTCACTGTGCGCGTCGGCTGAAGCTGTGGTGAGCTGATGCTGCTCTCTGACACCGGCTTCCAGCTGCCGGTTAGTAAGTCCCTCTTCTGAAATGTGCTCCACCTGTCTGGGCCTCGGGAGCTGGTGATGCCAGACAGCCAGAGCACCAGAGCTGTCCCTCCCACGGCTGCATCTCCTCACGGCATGCATCTGGTGGGGGAGGTGTGGCTGCTGGGATAGGACCAGCTCCCAGAAGTGGGTGGAGGCAAGGACTGTGTGGCTCCAAATGCCTCTGAATAGGGTGCTTAGAGGTGGTGACTTTGTTACAGGGCAGGGTGAGGGGCACCCCAGAACCCCCAAACCTGCCTGTTTTAAATAAGCACTGCTATCCGCTGCGTCAAGACAAAATATACTCTAGTGTGTAAAATCTTCAATGGAAAGAGACTTTAATACAATTAGTGTGCAATGCAGAAAAGGGGAAGAATAAAGTTTCCTAATCAAGGACCCGAAGTTGCCCATCCCCTCGTGGGTCAAAGTCTAGCCAAGCGGGCGTCGCCCAAAGCAGGGCCACTGAGGCCTGAAATCCTGTCACATGGCTAAGGCCCCTCCTGGTGGGGACCCATAGGAAAGGGGAGAAGAGCCCAGAGAAATCTGGAAGGAAAAGAGCAAAATAAAAATCAGTATTTTATTTATTTTAATTTTTTAAAGATTTATTTATTTATGCATACAAGAACTGGGGTGTAGGCCAGAGATGCAGGAGCTGAGAGGATTCACCGGAGACAGAGTGGGGAACAGAAAAGGCAGATTGACTGAAATACACTGCTGAGGGGAGCAGTGGGTGTGACCGGAGAGGTCTGCTGCGCCACGTGGGTATCTCCCTGGCTGGCGGGGGGAATGAAACTCGTGCTGCAGTGGCTGCAGAGAGCTTTATAGGTTGCGTCTTAACCTCTTGCGCCACCAGGGAGGCCCCCAAAATCAGTATTTTAAAAGCTGCCATGTCACCTCCCCATGGGTCTCTCACCCACGAGTATTCTAACCAGTCCAGGCCCAAGACATTAGTGCAGCTTCTTCACATGTCTCTGTTCCCTGTGCCTCCTCCAGGCTCCTCCTGCTCCCCATTCTTTCCCTTCCTTCCCCAGGCTCCTCTCCAGGTTCTCTCTGCTCAGCTCCACCTTCCCTTGGGTCGGGCTGGGAGCCTGGCACCTCCCCTTTCTCTGGGGACCGCCTGCTACAATGTCACATTACATGTACTCTACAATAAAGGCGCACAGAGCACAGGCCGCCTTTTTTTAAAAGCTTACTTGTAATTTCTCCTGGAGGCTTTATCTCATCAGCCCGGAATTTCTTCACCTCAGGGGACAAGTCCAGCTGTTCTCACTGAGAGTAATCTCATGAGTTATTGAAAACACCCTGTGGGTTTTGAATCTATTCATGTAGGTTTGTTTTAGGTTCTCTTAGGCCAGTTCATCCAGGTCATGTGTGGCACTTGGTGGGAACTGAGGCCAGAGACTCTGGTTCTAGCAGTATTGGTGGTCTCCTGAGAAAGACAGGCAGTGACCCCATCCAAGGCGTGTCTGACAAGGTGTCTGCCTTCCGTTGGTGGTATCCTGGGTGACACACACACACACACACACACACACACACACACACCCCACCCCCCCACCCCCCACTCCATGTCCTGCCCCCGCAGGGAGCCCCATTCCTTCCTAACCTGCCCAGGCAGCTGGGCTCCCTGCAGATTTGCGGCTGCTTTGCCCTTGGCTCACTGCTGCAGGTATTTCATTTCCCAGGAAAATGACAATGGTCTTGAGGCCTGGAGTGCTTCCTGGGGGGAGTCAGAAGTGGACAGACCCAGGCAGGTCTGGAGCAGCCGAGCGGTGGTCGGGGCACACAGCAGTTACCTGAGGCTTGGAATATTAGCAAGGAGGCCGTGTTCTTGCTGCAGAACAGGGGTCTTTTTATCCCTCTGGTCCGCTGCTGTTAACTGATTTATTCTGATGTTCTCCAAGTCTCAGAACTAGAAACGGGAAGCTTAGACAGCTTTGATGATCGGCTGGCAGCTCTAGTAGAAGGTTAAGTTTACAAGGTGGTTAGAATTCGTTAGAATCTTTCCAATCAGGACCAATTTAAGGAAGGTCAGTGTAAAGTAGTGAAAATACAGAGGCTACTGTTAAACAATGTGTTTAATATAAACTTCTAAGGACCTCAGAACAGGAGAGCTGAGCACGGTCTTAGAAATGCTGGCCACTAGGACCTTGTTTCAGACTTTTTTCCACTTTTATATGGGATGATGATGCAGAAGGTGGAGCCAGGCCCCCTCTGCTCCCAGGACCGCTCCTGTCACAGCTTCTGGGATCAATCCTTGTGACCGAAAAGTTTGGCCCTTGCTTCTCTGTCCTGAGGCCCTCCCCCACTCCCCCAGGTCGAGTCGCTGTGACCACAACTCCCTTTACTTCTCAGATTCATGGCAAGAAAAACCTTGTCCCCTGTCAGATGAGATATCCACTCGCCTCGTTTCTTTTCTCCTTGCAGAAAACTTGGGGACGAAATTCCAGGCATGTCTTTAGGGTGTGTGGATCCCCAAGAGCAGAGCCTCCGGCTCGAGTCTCAGCCCACCTCCTACCCCCTTTTTGGTTCTGTGCTGCTGGTGGTAGCAGGTCCTGGTTTATTTTGGTAAACTACTTCAGGTTACTTCGTAATTTGGTAAGGTCAGAAAGGAAAATGGGCGCTTATTGTGTGTCAACAGTCACTTTAAAATGACTAAAATGGCTTGTGCACTTTTTTGCAATTTGAGCATTTTCCCTGCAGCTGGTGGACATCACCTAATTAGGGTGAAGCTTCTGGGAATTGAAAGGGTCAATCTGTTGCTCCCTGAGCTGGCTGCTGCTGACCTCAGCCACTGCTCGACTTTCGCCAGTTTTTGGACTGCTCTAGATTGCATCAAAAGGGTTTTTCCCTGTTTTCATGGTCATGGAAAAGTCATCGAGGCTGCCTTGCTGCAGTGCCTCATTCTGCCTGCCGGAGCGGGGTGGGTGTCGAGTCCTGAAGGGCCCTGCTGGGCTGGGCAGATATTAGCAGGGCAGGGGCAGTTGGCAACCCACTGTCCTATGCACATGCGGCCTCCCAGGGGACTCAGTCTGAGCCCCCGACAACCACATGCCACCAAAGGCAGGCTCCCAAAGTCTATTTTAAAATCTGAAACCTCACGAAGTCAAGCCTCGGTTGACATTCACTCACTTGCAAAGGGGAGGAGAAGGGGCAGATGGAGGCTCCCCCCATGGAAATCGGCTCCAGCAGGCAGGCATTTCAAGGGGACCTAAGCTGGCTTTCTGATCTTGCTCTGCTGATAGCAGGAATTGCTGTAAGTAATGTCGAGAATCATCTGCTTGGGGGACTCGGGGATTTGCAGAGGGGAAAACAGAATTTAATTTTTAAAAAAGAACTAGTTAATTTAAAGAACAAATTCTCCCACAAACTGATGGCTTCCCAGCTGGTAATTCCTGGATCCAGGACCGTATGGTGGGTACCAGCCAAATAATTAGTGTCTTGTAAGAACCGTAAATTATTGTCCAAAAAAACTCTGCATCCGCTGGCTCCCCCTGCTTGTGTGCAGACCCGCCACTCAGGTGATGGGATTTGCATTTTGCTTGCAGCCTACTTGGAGGAGATCCAGTCGGTCCGTCGCCATACCAACAGCATGCTGGAGGAGGCTGGGCACTGTGCCCCACCCGTCGTTGTGCACTGCAGCGCTGGTGTGGGCAGAACCGGCGTGGTCATCCTGTCCGAGCTCATGATTTACTGCCTGGAGCACAACGAAGTGAGTCCCAGCTCCTCCGAGTCCTGGGGCAAGACCCCACCAAGGCCAGACCCTTCTGTGTCCCCCATTGCCAGGACTTCTGTTTCTCTCTCCTGAGAGAGTTTTCCAGACCTGCGACTTTAGTTGCACTCTGATCTTATTTACCTTTAACCTTCCCACGGTTCCTCATCCATCCCCAGAGCAAACAGAAGAGGGAGATAGGAGGGGAACAATGGAGAACCCGACCTTGTGCAGCTCCTTCCAGTGCTGGTGGTGCTGGTGGACACAGGGGTCCATTCTGGCTTGTCTGGGAGGCAGCAGACCGTCTTGCACTGCTAGGACCTGTTTTGGCCCAAACCCTGCATGTCCGTGTGTATATTTTGAAAGTGTCTTTCATACTTCAGAGGAAGGTTTATGTGTGTGTAGAACTGGGGTATAGGCTAGAAGTTGGGGGGCTGAAAGGATTCGAATCACTAGAGACAGAATGGAGAGCAGAATAGGCAGATCCACTGAAATCCACTGCTGAGGGGAGCAGCGGGGAGAAAGGAGAGGTCTGCTGTGCCCTGTAGGTGGCTCCCTGGCCAGGATCGAACTCAGACCACAGTGGTGACAGTGCTGAGACTTAACCCCTAGGCCCTCAGGAAGGCCCCAGAGGGAAGTTTTTCATGTGGGGCTGGCTTGCCCCGCCTGGACTGGGCACGGCAGTGTACCCAGGTGAGTGCACAGGACTGCGTGCCCCTTACCTGCTGCAGGTCAGGGACTTCCACTGAGGGGCTTTTGATCTCATGGAGGTAAGACAGTTGAAAGCTGTGGAACAATCCTTCTAACTTCTTTTTACCTCAGCTTCAGGGATTTTAAGTGGTGCTCACTTTTCTTGTGGTCCTCCTGGCACATGTCCAGAGGGGGAAACTGGCCCAGAACACATGAGTGACTTGCCCAGGGCCACACACTGTTAAACAGTGGAACCTGGCTGAGAAGGGAGTACTCCCTGCTGGCCTAGAGCTGCTGCTGGTCTTTACTCCAAATACCAAGTGTCATCTGGTTCTTGTTCAGTTTCCAAATTATACAAACCTCGGGGAATCAGAGGACACTTCTGAAGAGGGTTGGTAGCTTTTAATTAGGGAATGTCGGCATGCATGTGTGTTCTGTGTAGGGACGGTTAACAATGTTTGTGTTTACTCTGTAGCCTCAGGGTTTGAAAAGCAGATAAAATATTACCCCACAAAGCTTCACATATTGAAACTACAGGAAAATAAGAAACGCCTACATTCAAACACATTGAAAGGATTTTTAAACTCCCTGCCTATAAACTGCTAATCTTGGAAACTTGCAGCATGCACGAGAGACTGTGCTGCTGAACATAGGTGACACCCCCACCCTGCCTTGCCCCAGGTGGAGGGTGAGCAGCAGCCTGACAGTTTCCTCCTCCTTGAACCAGCTGAGTCACAAATTCCATCATCTTCCAGGAGTTTTTACCTTTGTGTCTCACGTGAGATTTCTTGTTTGCCTCCCTCACTGCTGCAGTCTCTGAAGTGTCCCGTAGAGCAGGTGCCCTGCCTCTGGGTGGCGGGTCTGTCCGTCCTGCACAGTGGACAGAGACAGAGTGGAACTGTTTGCCCTGATGGTTCCAGGAAGGAAGCTGAGCCCCCCCCCCCATTTCTTTCTCTGCCAGGTTCCCTTTCCCCACGCGTTCTTCCTCTGGCACCCCCCACCCCCACCCCCGCCCTCCTTTTTGGCTTGAGATGCTCTCCTGAGGTCCTGTGTAATGTGCATTTCTGGCCCAGCAGAGTGTGGTGGGTCCTGGAGCCTTGTGTCCAGGTAGGCCTGCTGGGCCAAGCCAGTGGGTTTTCCTCAGGGTCTACTCGTGTGCCAGCGCGGCTTTTGCTGGAAAGTGGTCAGCCCGAAGGGACTTCTGTTCCCACTTGACACTCAGAGATAGCGAGGTGACTCATGTCTTCCCTCTGAGCACAGATACAGCCACTGCACTGCTTCCTGGAATGGCTGGTGGTAGATGGTTTGGGAGAAAAACACTCTCTGTTTTGTTCTGAGGCTGCTCTGGGCCCAGCGGGGTGGGTTCAGACCCTTGTTTTGTCAGAAGAGTGGTTCTTTGGTTTGGTGGGTTGGCATCTTAAAGTTTTGATAAAGAGGAAGCTGTAGGCCCTATTCTCCCGTTCTGCCTCCCCTGCCTTCTTGCCTTGGCTTCTGGACTCCCCGCTCTGTATTTTCAGCCTGCAGTTCATGCCATTTGCATTTAGTCTGGGAATTGACTTATTTTTCTGGAACAAGGTGAGGTCGGGTAGCTGCGAGGTGGGGACGGTGACGCCCTAGGTAGCTAAGCCACACGGCCCCGCGCCCCCCCCCCCCCACAGGACTGGTGCTTTTACCTGTATATTTTTTAGGAATGTGCCGGCCTGACAGCCTCCAGGTCCCCTCTCGGCCACCGGGATTTAACTCTGTGTCAGATGAGTCTTGGTGTTTTCTGGTGCAGGAGTGAGAAGTGTTGATTTGCTGCTTTTCTGAATAAGTGGAGCTTCCTGTGTACAGGATGGGAGGGGCCTTTTACATTCTGCCTGAGCCCTGGGCAGGACAGGTGTACGACACCTGCTGGAGGGAATCGTCCAGTGTCCTGGACACTCTCCTTGGAAAACAGCCTGTGGCTGGTCATACACTGTCCTTGGGACAGTCCCAAGATGGGGAAGATAGTGATGGGGTTGGGGGTGGAGGAGCTGCAGGGGAGGGATTTGGGGAGGTAGTGGGAGTGATGCTGACAAGGATAACAATAAAAATATAACATTTCAGTCTGCATTCAGCATGGACCACATGCCAGGCTATTCCAGAGCTTTCCCCACAAGTAGTCTCACCACTTGAGTAGCCCTTGAGGGGTCGTCAATCCCCTTGTGCAACCGAAGAGAAACCGAGGCACAGATGAGGGGCTGTACCCGTCATCTGTGCCTCGGTTGCTCAAGGAAGTGTAAGAGGGTTAGCCCAGGGGGCCTGCCGGTTGGGGTGAGGGAGCTGAGAGGCTGGAGGGCTGGACTATGACCCCTGCTCTAGCAGCTTGGTCTGCACTGAAACCTGAGCCTGGTGGTTCAGCCCGCCGGCCCTGTGCTCTCTCCCAGGCCTGTGGGGTGGCGAGAGGGTGCCCCCTGGGGAAGAGTAGGAGGGGCCCCAGGGAGGCGCCTGCCCAGCCTCTGTGCGTCCTCTCTCTCCCACAGAAGGTGGAGGTGCCCGTGATGCTGAGGGCTCTCCGGGAGCAGAGGATGTTCATGATCCAGACCAGCACCCAGTACAAGTTCGTCTACCAGGTCCTCGTCCAGTTCCTCCAAAACTCCAGACTCGTTTAACCTCCGACCCAGCTGCTGAAGAGCCACTGGCTGCATCTGGCAGATGGGAGGCACCCCAGACAATGTCTGCCCCCCTGGGGCGCGGACGGCTGCGCAGGCAGGCATGGGTCCCAGACACAGGAGCCCTGGCCTTTCACCACCATCATGTATTATTTTATATGAGATAATTTATTTTTCCCCCTTTAGGGTACCTTTTGTGAACCACTGTCATGCCGTCCTCACAAGAATACACAGTTTTCATTTGGACCCCATTTTGACTGATCTGCATGTGTCAATAGGGAAGGTGACCTGGGGGTGCTGTTCGGGGCAGAGGCACAAGGGAACCCAGGCAAATTTGTAATCTGGCCTGAAATTGACCAGCCTAATTGCTCTATGTCCAAACCAAAGATAGCAAGAAAGTGAATTCTCCCTAGGTGCAGAGGAGCTGATACCCTTCTCTAAGGAGAAAAGCAGGGTGCTCTTGTATCAAGGGACTGTGGACAGGCGTCCCTTTCCCCTCCCCACCCCCACACTCAGCAGTCTCTCTCCTGCCAGGTTTGAGTTAATGATGCAGCAGCAGAAGCAACGGTTCCTCGGGGTCAGTCACGCCATGGCCCGGGGGATGGGATACTTCCTTGTCCCTCACCAGCACCCCTTATTCTGGTCCAAGAGACTGCGTTTCCCCACTGGGGCTGAACCCTTGAGCTGTGCTGCTCCTCCCTTTGCACAGAGGGCCCCAGGCTGGCAGGCAGGGAGGCCCTGGGGCAGCCATCTGTGCACTGGACCTCTGGCCCCATTCAGAGACCATGGGCCCCTGGGCGGGGAGGGAGCTGGGCCGGACCTGTGTCTGGTTTCAGTCTGGCGTGGTGCTCAGCGGGGCCTGGGGGAGACCCTGGGGGCGCAGGTCTCTGCTTCACTCACAGTCTTTGGAATGGCCATGAAGGGGCCACTGGGGAAGCTCCTCCTGGGATGGCTTGGCCCTGGGGCCAGGAGCCCATCACTGTGGCCATGTGTGTCCCATTCCAGGCTGTGGCCTGTGGCAGAGCTGAGCACAGCAAGACCTGAGGCCAAACCAGCTGTGATGAGGGAAGTGGATGGCTCAGGCCCTTTGCCCCTGTGCCCCGCACATTCACACCACTTGTGGGGTCCTCTGCCCTCGGCGTGGAGGCTGTGCTCCTCCTCGTGCTCTCGGCTCAGGTGGTGAGGTCTCAGGCTTTCTCACCCACGCCGGTGGCACGTGTTCCTCTTGCTGAATTCTGGAGCTGTTCCCGCTCCTCCAGCGTGTTGTGAATGGGGTTGGGTCCTGAGGCCCGATCTCCGCAGGTGTCCATCACCTCCGCGGGCGTTTTTCTTTTTTGTTCTTTTCCTGAGCTGAAAACACAGAGTGAGAACAGCATCTGGTCACTAGGAAGTGTTTTTGTGGGTTCGGCGCTGCCGCCAGGCGTGGGGGCGGTGCCACGTCTGTGAGTCTGCAGCCACCACTGGGCAGTGTGCCTGTGCTTGGACTTGGAGCAGCTGGCAGTGGTGCCTCTTCTGTGTTGGGGTCTGAAGACTCACATGGGAGTGTGACCCCAGCACAGCGACAGCCTGTCCGGAACTGGGGGGATGTTCTGGAGACTACCACTAGCGCACCGCGTGCCCCCACGTCACAGCCTATGGCCTGCTCTGCTGCAAGAGACTTGGACTGTGGATCGTCCAGGGGCAGAGGTGTCATCTGTCCTTGGAGGTTGTTTCTAGCCATGGGCATTCTGCTGTGAGGGTGTTCACGCAGTCGTGCTGGTCACCAGCTTGTTGGATGCGCATCAGTATTTCTTTCCTGTGGCCTTGGCCCCGTACGGCTGAGGCTGAGTCTCCTGGGCAGCTGCGAGGACACTCATTGGTGCGCAGGACACAGGCAAGGAGGCACCTCCCCAGGCGGCGCTGCCTGACCCAGCGGCAGGCAGGCCAGCGAGCTCTCTGCAACGTCCCTGCAGCCCTTTCCACCTCCGGGCCCTGCCAAGAGCCCTGATAAATTAGCAGCCACCAGGACTCTTCCAGTGGCATCTGCATAATCATTGTCCAGAGATGCTTCTCTCCGGGAATTCAGCCAAGGAATGAACCTTGAAGAGAAGGGTATTAAATTAGTTATCTGGTTAGAGCTTTTGGAATGAATTCTCAGGATGTTTCAGGTCTGAAGCTGGAGCTGGCGTCCATGGCTGCTGCTTGGAAGCCAAAAGAGAAAATTACAAATATGGGGAAGCGCCACCCCACATGCACTGTCACTCAGGGCCTGTGCTTTTGAAGTTTCCAGTTGAGATGTTATCTTTTTCTTGTCCACGCTCATTTGGAAACCTGGACCGACCCTGGGATCACCAGTGCACTGGGGCCCCTGGGTGGTTGGGCCGAGTTTGATGGCGTCTTCCTTGGGCTGAGCGGAGCCCTGTGGGGCGGGGCTGCTCAGCTGCTCGCTGGCCTCCGGTTAGGAAACACCAGCTTTGGGTAGCCTTTCCCTTTAATGGAAAATAAAGGGGGGCTGTGCTGCTGTGGGAGGGCCACCTGAGGCTGGTCCCCTCCTCTGCTGGCCAGAGAGGGAAGGTGCATTTCCACGTGAAATGTCAAGAATGAGCTTCTAGGGCTCTAAGCCTCATGAATGTAATTTGACAGCCTTGGTGAAGTCAGCCCAGGTCTTGGGCTGGGGTGTCATGTTACCCTGCGAGTTGCTTGGCCATCTCTGGCTTCCTCCTCCATCAGCCCGATGCGGGGGTCTCTGGGCTCTGCAGAGAGGGGTCCCCAATACAGACCCCACCTTTATCCCGCCTACTCTCAACTTTCTGGTTCACTTCTAAGCTCTGCTTCACTGCCCTGTGGCTCACGACTTTCCCTCTCTTTCCCCGATGAACAGCCGAGGCCCTTGTGAAGTCTCCATGGCGGCCCTGTCTTGCTCACCATTAACACAGTTCACTTGAATCACACACTTTGCTCCCTCCTATGTGGGGTGTCTCCCAGGTGCCACATGCTTTTCTCCAAGTGCCAGGAAGCGTGAAGGTGTGGAGTGGGCAGTGGCTGGCATGATGACCCGGCTGCGCCCGGGACCGGCCATCTTGGCAGAGCAAAAAGCCACTGGCTTCCTGCAGGTAGGACTGGCCAGCAGGTATCTCACCCAGGCTCCGCTGCCCCCTCTCTGGACGCAGTGTTTGCTGATCTGGGCCCAGCAGCCATGGCACCTGGTAGACGGGCCCTGTGGTGCCCCACGCCCATGAGGAGAGCGGGCAGGGTTTGGGGGAGAAACGCCAGCAGGTGGTCAGGACATCCTCATGGATGGGGTTGGCCAGACGGCGTCTACACAGCTGTCACTCCTCCTGGTGTTGGAAATAACTGTTGGGTGCTGGAGTAAGAGGCTTCCAGAAGCATCAAGTAATCAGGGTGGGTGTTGAGGGGGCTCTCCCTGGGAGCCCCCCATCCCCAGGTTTTACCAAAGACTCTCCCCTCGTTGCCTGGGGCCCCAGCAGACGCTTGTCCTGCTCCTGCTGGGCAATGGTGTTGGCGGCCCCGGCACTGCCCAGGAGCAGGGAGACTCAGATCTCTGTGGCCACAGCTGGGCAGGAAGGCGGCCGGTGGCGCGAGGTGACTCCATGCTGGCAGGCGCGGATCTCGGACTGTCGGGGGTGGGCATGGCATTAAGCTTGGCTTCGGAGACCTCTGCGGGCATGAGGGGGACCCCACGTGTGCCCATCACTTTCTCGCGGGGTCTGTCATGAAACCTGTGGCTGCCCATCAACCCTCCGTCTCTCCCGCCGTGCTTGGCTTTTTTGCGTCAGGTAGAGCTCGGGCGAGCATTTCATCCAGCTGCCTGCCTGCCGTCTTGTCTCTGGCTTACCCTGCATGTCCCCCTCGGGAGCCAAAGCAGTCCTGACCCGGTGTCCATGTGCTGGCACCGCCTCTTTGCGCTGAGGGCGTTGCCTGGGAAAGCCATGGGCAGGGCGTGTCTTCTGCTGGTCAGGGCCCAGCCAGCCCTCCCATTTAAAAACCTGTGTGGCCGGGGCCGGGGCTGATGCGGAGCCGAGTGAGATTGAGAGTCTGCACGAAAGTCGTCGTCCTGGGGCGCGCATGGGACTGTGGGGCTCCATCCCTGAAGTGCTGCCGCTGCCAGAAAGGACCAGACAAGGGGGAGGCATCTGGGCCAGGTCCGGCTGCAAGAATGTCTCCCCCTCCCTCGCGGTCTCCCTCTCCCTCCCTAGGGCTGAGCAGCACCCTGGGAAGGATGGTGAGGGGTTGAGTCCCCGTCCCCTGGAGGAGGCTGGGAGGAAGCACAGGGGGAGCAGGTGCCCAGTCTCCTGGCTGGCTGGGGTGCTGGGGAGGGAGGTGGATGCATGCATCAGGGCCCTCCACTTGCTACCACCACCTGCCCTGCTTGGCACGGGGCACCGACCCCAGAGCCTGTCTGGAGATGGGGAGTGGAGGGGGTTGTAAGTGGTGAGGTTTATAGTTGGGGTACGGCCTGGGTTTGTCAGCACTGCAGCCCCTGGGGGCTCTGGCGGGACTGGGGTGCTGTCCCTCTTTGAGCTGGGACCCTCCCTGCTCAGGGCTCTGCCCACCTCCCTGCCTCCCCACCTCCTGGCTCGCTCTCCACAGTTCTGTGCGCTCTTCCCGGCCCCTGCAGTGATGAAATGTCCGGTCTAGGCCTGGAGCATCCCTCTCCTGAGCACCTCCAGGCTGGCCGCAGAGTCTGGCTTCCACTGAGAAGCTCATATATTTCCAGGAGTGAGATGTGGACAAGGGCAATAACCAGAACGGGGTGGTAGGGGGCCATCAGCAACCAGGAAGTGCCTGTGCTCCCCTCAGGCCCAGGAGAGACAAAAACCGAGGCTCCAGTCCCAGGGGCCGGGCCAAGGTCCCCAGGTGACTGCGGGGCTGTGGCTGCCCTCGGTCGCGCCCACAAGACTCAGCTGTGCGTCAGCTTCCTCCTCCTGGCCCACGTCTCGAGACGGCCAGCCCAGCTGCCTAGCAGCACAGTTAGCCTGCCCTGGCCCCAGGGTTGGGGAGGTGGCATCTGTGACCCTTGGTTCTCCCTCCACCCGCGTCCCCTGTGACACCACCTCGCGGACCTGGGTTCGTAGGAGGACGCTACAGACTGACAGGTCCTGGACCTGGACACTGTCATCCACGCCTTCCATCCTCACTGAATGCTTTGTCCCCTATGCACTGTGGGGGCCTGAGAAACCTTTAGCTGCACCCCGTGGAAGCTAAGGTTCCGACATCATGGCCACTCTCCTGCATCTGTCCTCCTGGTCGACAGTCACCTGCCTGAGGACACGCGCATGGAAAGGGATCCCTGATGTAGTACGCTGGACTGTGTGGCCAGCCCTGTGGGCAGTGAGCCATGCCTCCGTGATGCGTCCCACTGGCTGTCCTCACCCAAGCTCGCCAAGGTCGGTCTGGTAATTCGTGACTTGTGGATTCACTTAAAACCGCCTTGCGGGGACACCACAGAGTGTGACCTTGGCTTGCAGTGCATGACCTTGGCGCAGTTGCCACGCAGGGTGGGGGCGGCCAGGGCGGGACTCGGGACCCTCAGATCACACTCTGCTCCCCCAGGCAGCCACGTGCTGCCCAAAGCCCATTGTCTTGTCCAAAAACCGCAGCTGGGTGAGTGGGCCGGGTGCTGTGCAGAACAGGCCCGAGCTGGAATGGTTTGATGCTGGGGGCCTCTCTGTTCAGTGCATTTAAGGCCTTCACTGAACACCGCACGTGCTGCTTGTGCTGTTGTTTATCAGTAAATAAGCTTGTGCTGCCAGTGTCGGGCACGATTCTGCATGTCTGAGCTGCCCTCTGACAGTATTGTTTGCACTGTTTCTTGTCTGTGTGTGTAAGTCCTTGTAGCTGTGAGCTGTGCCCGTCGCGCCGTGTCTGCCTCCACCAGTGAGGCCTCGGCCTGTCCTGTAAAGATGTCTGTGGTTTCCATATGCAATAAACCTTTTTTTTTTTTTAAATCAAGAAAAGTCGCATCTTCTGTGTTTGTGTTTGGTTGACAGCACCCACATCTTGTCCTATTAGCATGACTTTCGGGTTGCAGGTGCTGCGGGGAACATGCCCACATCTCTGCACTGGTGATTGCTAGGCCGACCAGGCTTACCATAGTAGAGGTTCAGGGGCCACCTGGGTGTGGCCTGGAGCTGACCAGCTCAGTGCTGGCTGCACCTCCTGGGGAGTGAGCCCAGGAGCGCTGGCTGCTGGGGGTGACAGCTCCGGGTGGGCCCTCCGGGGTGGCGGGACGCGCCTCTTATACTGTGTTCCACTCCGGGCCTGTCTCCCCTCCCGCACCTCTTCCCTGTGTGTGTTCTCTCCTCCTGTCCCTCTGCTGCTCTCCTTCTCTCTATTCCCCATTCCCCCCCCCGCCCCCCTTCTCTCCCTTGCCTCTTTCCCTGAACCTCCTGCCATCTCCCTCTTCTCCCCCTTTCACATCTGCTTTCTCCTGTCTCTGTCCTTCTCCTCCGTCCTCTGCTCCTCCCGCTCCTGCCTCCTGCTCCCTTTGCCTCTCCCCCTTCTCCCCCACCTCCCTGCCTGTCTCCCATGTCCTTTCCTCCTGCCTTTCCCTCCTGTGTTCTCCATCACCCTCTCCTCTCGCTGTCACCCCCTTTCCCTGTCGCCTCTGCTCCCTCCTCTGCCTGCCTCCCTCTTGTCCTCACTCCTCTCCTCCAGGCTCCTCTCCTCGCTCACTCCTCCCTCCTGCTCTCCTCCTCTCACCTCTCTTCTCTCCTCTTGCTTTTACTTCACTCCCGTCCTCCTCCCTCCCTGCTCTCAACCTCTCTTGTCTCCCCCTCCCCCATCCCTTCAGCCTCCCCCTCCATGAGTCTCCCCTCCCCTCACCCCCCCAGTCTCCCGACCCCTGCTACTTGCCTCCATTCTCTCCTCCCCTCCCTCCTGTCTCTTCTCTCCTGCTCCTTCCCCTTCTGCTGTCCCTTTTCACCTGTCTTCTCCCCTCCTTTCTCCCTCCTCCCCTCCCCTGCCTGCTCTTCTCTATTCTCTTCTCCTCCCTAAGCCTCCCCCTTGTGTCCTCTCTCCTCTCCCTGTCCTCTCTTCTCCATTCTCCTGTCTCTGCTCCCTTGTTTCCCTCCCCCTTTCCTGCCCATCTCTTCGCGCTCCCCTCTGCCCCATCTCCCTTCATCCTGCCTTCCCCCCCCCCACCCGAGCCTCCCTCTCCATCCTCCCCACCGGCTTCTCTGCTCCCTCCTCCCTTCTCTTTCCTCACCCCTCACCTGTTCTCCCCACTCTCCCTTCTGTCTCCTCTCATCTTCCCTCTCTCCTCTCCTCCTCCACCCTGTTACTTGCTTTTCTCATTTCTCTCTCCTGCGTCTCCCCTCCCTTCCTCTCCTCTCCCCTGCCTTCCCTCCCCTCTCCTCCTCTCCCCTGCCTTCCCTCCCTCTCCTCTCCCCACCCCTCTCCCCTGCCTCTCATGCCATCTCTTGCTCCTTCTCCACTTGCTTCTCCTCTCCCTGCCCGTTCTGTCTGTCTCTGTCTTCTGTTTCCACTCTCCTGCTCTCTCTCAACAAAAAAGGAAGAAACTCCTCTGCGAGCCCCCTGTCTAGGAGCACAGAGACCAGGGCAGATCCAGGCCCCACCATCCAGTGTGGGGTGCCGGCTGAGGGAGGTGTCTGCTCAGGAGGTATCAACTGAGGAAAACATCCTGAGCTGACCCAAACCAGGGGCATCTGCACAGAAGCAGCAGCAGGAGAGCTGGGGGCTGCCCCAGACATGCATGGTGCCCTGAAGGGGAGGGGCGGGGACACACAGAACTGCTCAGCCTGGCCGCACCCTGCTCCCCCATACCCCCCCCCGCCCCCGTGCCCCCACTGGTGGCCCGGGAAGCAAGTGCAGGCCCGACCCTTGGAGAGGTCAGAGAAGTTGGGGGCGCACATGTGACCCCCAAGCCCAGCCCCCCCAGGCAGAAGACACAAAGCCCAGATGCTCTTTTTTTTTTATTCGCTGCCATCGGTTTCATCATAATATCCAACAGGCATGGGGGAAATTATTCTCTAAACTCAGTCTGCCCGAGCTTTATGACAGGAAACCAGGCCCTTAGCACTCAGGGGAGGAAAAGCATCCAGGCAAGTGAAGGAAGGTCAAGGGCCAGCTGTGCTGGACAAGCCAGAGCCTCCGTGGCAGCATCCACATGGCGGCGGCATCCACATGGCGGCGGCGTCCACACCTCAGCCCACGCCGCCCCGGGTCAGTGGCTTTCAATCTCCTGCCTGATCTCGGAGATGTAGGGGTGGTCTTTGCCGTGCACAACCTCCATGATGGCGATGGCCTGGGGGAAAGGTGGGCTCAGCGAGGGGCGGGGCTGCCCGAGCCACGGTCACTGCAGCCCCAGTAGCCCGGATACTGCAGCACAACTCACTGGGGACAGAGGATTTAACCTGAAGCAGGTAACGGGACACGGGGGGTGCAGGAAGCCTCGGGGGCAGCAAACCCATGGTGATGCTGGCTTGGCCCTCGTGGCACCCTGGTCAGTGGCTTCTTCCCTTTAAAAAGGGCAGTGGGAAGTCCGGCCAGAGGGCGGCAGAGCTGGGCCTCTGGCTCCCACCTGTAGCCCCGCCTCCCACCTGCAGCCCCTCGGCTGAGGACCCCAGAGGCAAAGCTGACAACCAACCCAGCCCTCCGGGAGCGACGGCGGATGGACAGCGGGAAACACGCAGTGACTGAGCAGTGATGTCCTGTGACTGTGACGGGCCCATGGAAGTGGGGAGACGGGGATTATTAAAGGAAGTTGCTGAGACACCCCAGGAGACGAAGCAGAGGTCCTTACCCAAGGGGCCAGAGAGCTCCAAACAAAATAGCACCTGACGAAGACGTGACACTAAAGCTGCTGAGAGACAAATACTGGCCTCAGGAGGGCAGAGGGTGACCAGTGAGGGACCCGGTCGGCCAGTCGGTGGGTAAAACATTAGAAACATCAGAAGCACGAAGGGACTGGCCGGAGATAAAGGCTCCAACCCAGAGATCTATGCCCAGCAAGGCCAACACTGAAGGCAGAGGAGTAAGGAGCCCTGCGGAGAAGCAGAACCGAGAGAAGGTACCAGCACCTAGCTGCCCATGAAGGAGCTGTGAGGGTCCACTATGAGGCGAGGACAGCAGCGGGGACAAGGGGTCGCCACGGGCCTGCCCTGACCTCAGCAGAAGCTCAAACAGAATTGAAGGAAATAACAAGGACGAGGAGAGAGCGGTGCCTGCACGAAACACAGACCTCGAAAGTCAGACGACAGCAAAATCCAAGCTAAGGGAGTGGGACAGAGGGTGCCTGCCTCGGACCGTGAAGGCCGCGCAGCGCAAACCAGCGCTGGCCCCTCCCAGACTGGGAATAAGTTGGGCAGCCCTCACCACGGCTGTCCAGCTTGCTCCAGCCAAACCCGATACTGTTAGACAACAGCGGAAAGGAAAGGGGAGCCAAGCCGTGAAAGCGCAGCTGCCCCGCTCATAGGTTGTGTCTGAGACCCTGCACACAGTCACAGGACGGAGCAGCCCAACACGTGGGCTGCAGACCCACAGCCTTCACGCGCACAGCCGACGAGAAGCAACGCCAAGAAAACAAGTTATACTTGCTTCAAAAATAATTGACCTGAGAACTGACCTAGTTAAGGCAGTCAAGGGCCCAAACTAGAACCGAGAGATGGGACGAGGCCCCCAGCGACACAAGATAAAGATGGGGCCGGGAGAACTAGCCATCAGGATGACATGCGTTTAACACCATCGCCATCAAAAGGCAAGCCGTCTTTTTAAAGAAATGGAATAAAAAATACTTATATGGAAACACTGAAGACCTCAAATTCAAAAGCAGCCCTGAGGAAAAGAAGAACCGGTATCGGGTCACCGGACCTCAACTGTTACTATAAAAACATCAGCACTAGGAACAGTGTAGCCCCGGCCCAAAATGGACTCGTGGGGTCTGGAAGTCCAGAGGTCAGTCCCCATCATGCTGGCTCCCTGTCTGCCGAGCAGTGGGACCACCTAGTGGGAGAGTCTCCCTAAGTACTGGTGCTGGACACATGAGGCCCCCATCCCCAGCTTTTTAGTCAGAAGGGCTTTCTTTGGCTTTGGGGTTTTTTGCGGGTCCATATGAATTTTAGTAATCTCTGTTCTACTTCTTTGAAGAATGCACTGGGATTGCATGGAATCTGTGAGTTGCTTTGACAGTGATCCAGGAGCAGGGTACTAAGGTGACCGCCCCTCAGGGTTGAAGTTCTACACTGTGAAAAAATCAGAGATGCGGGCCTCCCCTGGTGGCGCAGAGGTTGAGTGCTGGGCTGCAAAGCTGCCCGCAGCCTCTGCAGCGCTGGTGATCCCTGGCCACCGGCGAGGGTCCCACATGACGTGCAGACCTCTCCTGCCACGCCCGCTGCTCCCCTCAGCAGTGTGTTTCGTCAGTCTGCCTGTTCTGTTCCCCACTCTGGCTCTGGTGAATTCTCTCACCCTCCCGCACTTCTGACTGTAGCCAGTGCTTGTATAAATAAACAAATGAATCTTTAAAAATAAAACCAAAAAAACCCAGAGATGCTTAAAAGCAAAAGCTGAAGAAAAAAAGGTGCTGGGAAAATTGGGAAATCCCACGTAAAAGAATGACACTGGATCACTCTAACCCCGAACCCAAGACGCAAGAATAAACTCCAAAGAGACTGGAGACTTAGATGTGGAAACTAAAACATCTAGAAGAAAACCACGGTGGTTCATTCCATGACATCAGCAAAACACTTCCGGTGATTTGCCCCCCTGGCAAGGGAACTGAAAATAGCAACTGGAATGGAGTCAAGTTTAAAACGATATTATACAGCAAAAGAAATTACAAGATGATTAAGAAGACTACTGAGTGGGAGAAAACAGTCACACAATATGGGACTGGAAAGGGGTTAATATTCAAGATATAACAAAAACCCACAACGGTGTGGGTTGAAGGGGGTGATAAAGAGACACCGTTAAAGGGGGTGAAAAAGTAAAACGGTTGGGAAAAAGTAAAATGAAAAAGATCGTGTATTCCTCTTAATATATTCTTCAAACTTTAAAAATAGAGCAGCTTTCATTTGGGGACAGTACATGGGACACAGCAACAGAGTCACGAGTGAGAGAGCCAGGGAGTGGAGGGTTTGCCTGCGTCCCCCCAGGCACCTGGCACCACCGCTCCTGCCTGGTGCCCTCACCTGCAGAACAGGGGCCAGACCCACTGCTTGTGATGTTCATACAAAGTGAGTGTCAAGCACAGTCCCTGGCATAGGAAAGCACATGTTGAATGTAGAAAGATTTTCTCCACACACATTCTCTTCCTGTGGCCCACCAGCTTGGCCCTGGCTTGGTGCTCCCACCCGGTCCGCCCTGAGCTGGCACTGAGCTATAGGCCGGCACCTGTGACTGCGACTGGCTGCTTAGTTGTCCCTCACGCTCCCGAGGCACCGAGTGTGATCTGAGGAGCAAATCCCACAGGCCACAAGGAAATACTACGTACGCTTAACTCACTCTCTGAGCCTGGCCAGTCCTTGGCGCTTCCATTTGGGGTAGCTGGGGGGCCTCTTTGCACCTGTCCACAGTCTACTGGGATGATCCCAGGAATTGGAGGATTCTGTGGTCCCCATGTAGACAAATGCTTTCTTATGGGAGTAAGCTGACTGTCCCAAAGATCACAACTTATCAGCTGCTGGTGCCTCTCATTAGGAGCAATGGAGTCAGTTCTTGGGGTGTGACTGTGAGGTCAGGTAGGGCCCCTGGCCCAGGGTGGCTGTCCAGCTCCGATCCAGGCAACTTGGCCGGGGAGCTGTTGTCCCAGGGCCTTAGCACAGGAGGTGGGTAGAGCCAAGATGTTCAAGGAGGAAGGAAGAGCCCCGCCCCCGCACACCTGCCCAGCCCAGCGTTGACCTGTGTGAATCCCGGTTTATTCCTCAGGAAGACCCAGCTCATGTGTGGAGCTGAAACACACACATAGGGCCTCGGCAGTCACCGTGCTCGGTGGCGCTGGTGAGCCCCAGAAACTGTGAACGCACAGCCCCAACACCGAGGTGCTCTCCAGACCCAGCTGCCAGGCTTCCTCCCCATTGGGGTTATACACCCCCAAATCCAAATGCTGACCCCCACCCCAGCCCATGGCCAAAGGGCGGATCAGAACTGTCCTGGCCACGACTTTACTGACTCCACCAACATGGCTGGGCGCTGGGGAGGTTGTCTGGGCATAGGAAAGTCTGACCTCAGGCCTCCCACATACCTTCTTGAGGGCCTTCTCTCCAGCTGACCTGTTCTCCAAACCCATGTACAGCCTGCCCAGCTTGAGCCACATGGAGGCCACGTTGAGGGAGTACAGAGGGTAGTGCTTGCTGGAGGGAGAAGGCAGGGATGAGTCACGGGTGGCCCTGCAAAGCCCTGCCCTGTGACCCCAAGTCCGGGTAACCACTCCACGCAAGCTGGCCAGGGCCCCCAGCCCTTCCTGTGCTGCAGGTAACTAACCCTCACCTTGGCTGCCACTTGGCAGCAGCTGGGCACACCCCCAGGAACCCTAGGAAGGGCAGAGCCACAGGGTCTGTGGCCTGGAGACCCCAGCTCCTATCTCACTCCACCTCCTGCTGGGTCTACAATGCGTGACAATGACCCCCGCTAGTCAGCAAAAGGCCACCTGTGGTTTCCACTCTCACTAGAGGCCGAGAGGGTTCTAGGTGGAGCAGGATTCCCTCCTGGTCTTGACTGAAGGCAGGCAGTGGGGCCTAGGAGAGAGCCACCTCCCTGGAGCAGACTGGGGCGGGGGGGCAAGGTGGAAAAGGGGAGGCGGGAGGGGAGACTTTATTTGCAGGCTGCTCGCCAGGCCACCTGGAGGATGGGTGGCCCCACAGAAGGCAGCAATTCTCTGTGCCCCCCACCCACAGATTGCTCAGAGGGCTTGGAGGACCATGTGTAGGAGACAGGCTGCCTCACCTTCCCCAGGGAAGAATGGGAGACTGAGATGGCCCCATGGCAGCAAATCCTGTTTCCCAGATGGGATGTCAAGGGCCCCTGTCCTCCGGGGGCCCCTTACTGGCCAGCCCATAAGGGCTGGCCATGGCGCCTGCAGACTCTGGGGTCCCCAGTCTGACCACATTCATGAGAAACCCTTGGGTGGCAGGGGGGAGTGGCGTCACAGGGATTTCAGGACTATGCCTGGAGATTCTGATCCACCAGGTCTTGGGGAAATGCTGTACACATGGACTGTAGAGGACCTGACCGAGGCCATCCCCACCCACGGGTGGCTGGTGGGGCTAGGGGACGATGCCCAGCTGTCCTCCTAAAGGTAACCCCCTCAACAGGACGTGTCCCTACGGCCGATCCTTATCTTTCCTACGTGTTAAAACCCAGCTATGTGGGGGCTGTGAAATGGTCACCAGGGGTCCCTGGGGTCCCCACTTGCCAATGGGGTCAGCAATCTGAAGTGTAAGAAGGGGTGGCAGTGGTGACGGAAAGCAGGGCTTGGGGGACCCCTGACCACAACCAGAGGCCCAAGTGGCAGGGCCAAAGGGGTCTCCGGGCCTGAAGGGCTGTGGGCTGCGACCTGGATAGTGCCTGACCAGTACCCCCAACCTGCGCTCACTGCCTCCCACATGTCTCTCCGGATAGTCTGGGGACAGGCCAGCTCCACTAAGCAGCACCTGCACGGACCTCTCACTGGGAGTCTTGAAACCAGCGTGACCTCACCAGTTTCTGCCATGGGTGCTGGGCCCAGACAGCCCCCACCCTTCCAAGGCCAGCCAGGCCTTCCCAGTCAGCCCGGTGCAGGCTGGTCACCTGTAGGGCTTGATGATCTTCTGGCCATAGCGCAGGGCACCCTCCCAGTCCTGCAGGTACAGGCACACGCCCATGGCCTGGTACATCATGTGCAGCACGTATACGTTACTGTCCTCGAACACCGAGCTCATCTTCTCCTGGCTGAGCTCGCAGATCTCCAGCAGCTCGCTGGGGGGCGCTCTGGAGTCAAGGCACAACAGGGCCAGGCGGGACACAGACGGTCCTCCCTCTGCTCCACCGCCCCCCCTCCCCCTGGAAAAGTCCATCACAGCCACCCAAGTCCGAGGTGAGGAAGCCATTTTTCTTGGACACAATGAAGGGCCGGAGCCCTCCACCCTGGAACCGGAGGCCCTTACCCACAGGGCCGCATGGACGAGGACCTGCCTCCTCCACCTGCAGCCTCCAGACCCTCATGGGTGGGACTTACCACAGGGAGGCGCCTGCCAGTCCACTGGGAAGCCCCTTCTAGAGCAGGCCCAGGTTGGCACCTTCCTCCAAGCTGAGGCCAGGGGGCCAGTGAAGGTGGCCAGTGGTTGCGAGGGTTGCTGGCAGGCCACACCTGATGCTGCCTGGGAAACAGGTGCGCTCTGCGGGCTGGTTCCCCTCTGGCTTGGGAATGGCCACGTCCCTACCTCAGGGGCCTTGGGGGTATTGGGTGGCACCCTAGTAACAAAGCCTAAGCCAGAGCCCTGATAAATTGAGGGCTCTTGGGGATGGTTCCTCGCAGCATTAGGCAATGAAGCTGCCCCACACTGTGCTTTCAGCCAGCTCTGGAAGCCAGAGCAGGAGCTGCCACATGACCCAGGCATGGCCTTGTTCACAGGGGCGGCTTGTCGGACTCTGGGGTCCCTGCCCATTCCCCCCCCCCCCCCCCACCGGCCGGCTGCGAGGATATATTTGTAGTGCTTGGCCCTCCGGAACTCCTCAATGACGTTGCGGGCGTAGCGGACCATATCCCGGACAGTCTCTGCCTTCGGTGGGTCATTGAGCTTCCGGATTTCCACCTTGGCCTTATCCTGAGGGGAACGTCACGTGGTCACAGGGTCATCGCTGAGGATCCGCTGGCAGGGATGCCCCTTCATTTTCCCTACAGAGGTGGAGGCTCCCCATTTTAAAGTTACAAAAGCCAAGAACTGGAACAATCTATGTGTCCAATGATGGCCAAATGGCCGAGGAGGCTGTGGTGCAAGAGCGCATGAGGGCCTGAGGCAGCTGGAGTGAGGGGGAGAGATGGGATCCTGCTGTGTGCAACAGCACGGATGGGCCAGAGCGCCTGACGCTCAGCTAAAGTCCAGACGCAGACACCCGTTGGTTTCACCCTTGTGTCCCCCTAGAGGAAAACTAAGCCTTGAAAAAAACCACCTTTGGACTATTAAATAAAATCACAAAACAATGAGGAGTTGCTATTCCATTACTTTCTTCCAAAGATAAACAGCCAAACATCACCTTCCTAGACAGTTCCTAAGAGGCCAGGCCCTCGGCCACGTCTGACGTGTCTGCTCAGCTACAACTCGTGAGACTACGGGCAGCAGGCGCCGGTGCAGCACACCCCTGAGGAAATTCTGCATGTTCTGGCAAGTAGCTCAGAAGGCCTGAGAATCACTCTGGGGTGCTCCCCCCCCCATTTACCTCTCTTGAATGGCCACTTCTCAGCAAACAGCCACCGGACAGACAGACCGACCTGCTCTCACCTGGACAGGATAATGGGAACACCCTCCCGGCACCAGAGCTGGTCCAGTTGGATGCCCTGGGCGGGTTTTGGGGTCAAGACCCCCTGGTGGAGGCAGCCCAAGTCAGCCAAGGTGCCCTGTGCACGGAGGTCCCGAGCAGCGGGGTGGCGGGGGGGGGGGGGTGCCGGGTGGCAGCGGGGCTCACCTTGTCTCTGGAGGTGCATTCCCGGCACTGGCAGGTGAAGAAGTAGGCGTCCCGGAGGCGGTCATTCCTGTCCTCTGTGGGGTACAGGAGGTCGATGTAGCTGGTGAAAATCTGCGGGTCCAAAGGTTGCGCTCAGACAGCCTGGCCAGCTCTGCCATGCTCTGCAGCCCCCGGGACCACATGGAGTTCAGGACGTGCTCGACTTAAACTCAGCTCAGGCCTGGCATTGTCCAGCCAGCCTGGTGGGAGAAGGTGCCTTTCTTTCCCCGTCTAGACACTTGCAGAATCCCCCGGATGGCCAGCTGGAGGACACAGAGCACCCCGCAGCTGCCTCTCCCCAAAGGCAGCAGGTTGAGGGTCTGTCTGGGCAGTGGGCGCCTAGACTCGTGGAGAGAGACCCCGCTCAGCTGGGCCTGCCCCATTACCTTCCTTTCCCACCTGGCCTGCTCAGCTGTGGCACCACACGGAGGACGCGTGGACACGCGTGGACACACGCAGGGGGAATTCTCCCTCTGGCCTTCCCCAGCAGGGCCAGGCACTTGGAATCACCTTATCTTTCAGCACACGGGACCCCGTCCTGATTTTTCCTAACGGGGTCTGTGAGGCTGGGCATATGGAGAAGGCCAGCCTGACCAGGATCTGCTCCCTGGAACAGCCCGTGGCTCATCCCACACCATCAGGCACATGTCACCCGGAACAGATGGATATCACGAAGCCGCCGGCCTGCCAGGAGCTGGGGTGCTGGCTGGCTGGCTGGGAGCCAGCACAGGCCTGCGCACCTGTAGGGGCGGCCCTGACCCCCAGCCCAGAGAGCAGTGTGGGGTCTCATGGCAACTCCTGACACTGGGGAAAGGGCTCTTTGCTCTTTGAAGGGTAAATCACCCTTGAAGCTGTGACTGCCCCAAATGGGGTGCCCTGCCAGGGAGGCAGAGTGGCCTTGGCCTGGCTACCCTGTCTTTTGAGTGATGGACACAGTGCAACAAGCAGGCATGCCCAGCAGATGGCGACAAAGGCCACTTGGTTTCAGTGCTGGGACCCAGAGGACAAACCCATCCTCACACGGGCAGCCCAAGAGCTCAGGGAGATGGACACCCAGACTCACTGTCACAGTCTGCTTCAACAGAAGAGGCACCAGGATTGTTCCTGAAGGACATCTGAAAGCGAGACACTCCGACCCCAAAGCAGGAGGCCCTGGTGATAAATCTGCGCACTGGGGGAGCTGCAGGTCAATCCCCCAGGTGCGGGCCAGTAATAACTGCCCAAAACCAATGCATCACCACCCGGCACTCTGACCCCAGACACGCACCTTTAAACAGTACCAACCTTAGAGCCTCCCTGCACCTGGGGGCACAGGGCATCACCAGCACCCAGCGAGGCCAGCCTTTCCAGGCAAGTTGTAGGTACCTCCTGGCCCCAGGCTGCCTCCACGTGTCCCGTGAACCTCACCCCCGTGAACCTCACCCCAAAGAAGCACCCCAATTTCTGACGTGGAACTGACAGGACATGTCCCTGAGGTTATGACTGCAGCAACCGTGAAAGAAGCACTCTGAGTTCTGACGTGGAACTGATAGGACATGTCCCTGTGGCTGTGACCGCGGCACTGTGAGCGGCTGCCTCCCTTGTGTGTCAGTGCTGGGTCTTGCAGGGGGATGACACCCACCGACGTCCACTAGTCACGAGGAAGAGCTTGGCTCAATTGCGTAAACACCCCCCCACCCCTCCTCGGTTCTGCTGCTCCTGGAGATTCCTCCGTGAAGAGCCCTCTGGGGCATGTCCTCTCTTGGGGGCACTGGTGAGTGGCAATAGTGGGATCCCCATGGGGTAGCCAGGGTGAGGGGAGCTGCCTGGGGCACCCATCCACACTGTGCCTGGCCAGGTCAGGCCATGAGCTGCTGACCCATCCCGGGGTGAGCCCGGCACGTTGCCTGGGGTCCTGCGTGGGCCCCCCAACCCCTCACCTCCTCTCCAGGACCGATGTCCTGAACCGCTCGCACTTCTGCCAGGGTCCCCTTGTAGGTGACAATGACGTTGGGGCAGCAGCTATGGTTCATCAGGGCGACGCTGCAACCAGAGAGACTGTGTTCTCGGGGAGCCAGCTGCTGCCCGCCCTGGCCATCAGCTCGCTCCATTACAGAAACTGGTCCCTGTGAGATGCAAGCTCCCCCCTATGGCCATCGAGGGCCAGGACATCCTTCTCCACACTCCTGGGACACATCCAGCATCTTAAACCCCAGCAATGGTGAAAGGTGACATCTACCGTGATGTCCAGGCCACATACTAAACCCAACAAACAACCCCTCTTGCTAGTGAGGCAGGACTCAGACCCCGATTCTGCAGCATACCCCGCCCCACAGCAAGGCCTGCGAGGCCATACCAGCACCGCATGAGCAGCTTCCCATATCACGGGGGGTTTCTGATATGCTCCCCGCAAAGGAGAGTAAATCATCACTTTGGGTGACGCCAGCTTCCGGGGTGGGTGACCACCAGGCCTGCAAGAGCCCGTATGACCATCTCGGCCCCTTGCTTTCCTCACCTGTAAACTGGGGACCCTACCGCTCACTGCTGCCTCCCAGGGACGGGGAGAAGGGAGAACAGCCTTGGGGAGGGGCTCTGAGCTGCTGACATACAAGGCCAAAGTTCTGAGCAATTTATAAACTAGGGTGTTTGATTCCCCAAATGCTGCCATTGAAACCACAGTGCTGAGGTGATTCCAGCCCAAAAGGATTTTCTCCCAATTATAACTGCCTGGGAACTGGGGTCAGAGGGGCCCTCACGTTCACAGGAGTCACTCTGGTGGCCAGTTACCCACCTGACCCCAGCTACCACCCACCTGACCCCAGCCACTACCCCTCCTGCTGCCCCGGGAGTGAGGAAACACACGGACGCGGTGAGCCCAAGGCTGCCGTGTACAGGGTGCGGCCCCTGCACTCACCACACACAAACCACACTCACCCCACACATCCCATACCCACACCCCCCCCACTCCCTCCACACCCCCCCTCCACATGCACACACTAATGCACCCTTTCTGCCAGAGGGTGAGTGACCACAGACACCACCCCGCCCTCCCCACCTTCCTGGCCAAGCGGGCGCAAGGAACCAGGCCTGGGAAGTCTGACAAGTACCCGCACAAAAGCTGTTATCAGCAGAAAAGCAGATTACCAGAACATTCCTGCAGAAGTCGTAACGCATGTCAAGAGCCTCCTGGGTATCTTTGTAAGGTGCGGAAAGCATGAAGCTGAGCACAGTTTGCCTCGACCACACTTTCCTTGGCAAAACCTTGGCCCCCGTCAGCAACCGTCCCTTCAGCCCCCTCAGCCCCAAGACCCAACGGGCCTGCTGAAGGCCTCGCAGCCTTTCTCTTTTGTCCTCCTCCCAAGGGCCACAGACCCAAAGAGCATCTTCCCACGACGCCTCCTTCCTCACTCTGGGGGTGCCTCTGCAGGTGACCCCCCTGGGCCACAGGGACAGGGATATGACACGATTAACTCTCTGGTTCAAGAAAGCCGGCGACGGGGCTCACAGAAGCTTCTGCCCAGACCGGAATGAACCCCCCTGGGTCCTTAGGATGCAGAAGGTGCAAAGAAAAGGCAGCAGCAGACACCCCAGATGTCACCTTTGCCTTTGCTTCACCCTGAAGCAAGGGCCCCCGGCAGCTGCAGGAGCAAGGCCGCTGCAGACATGGGTGATTATGACAGGGACACAGGACAGCAGCGCCACCCGCTGGACACGGGGTGAGGGCCTGAGCTCCGGAGACTGAGGCCTGAAGTCACCCCACCCATGGAAAAGACCCCACCTGCCTGAGCTTGGGGCACCGCCTGCCCCTGGCCACCTTCCTGGAGCCAGTGGGCGCCCCAAGTCCCCGAGTGTTCCTGTTGGCTCAGTAAGCAGTTGCCAAAGGACACTGCTCTGTGCGCACATGGCCTGTGGCCAGCTCCGCTGGGGGAGTAGTACTGTGAGTCCATGCAAGGCTAAGTTTCCAGCACACACAGGCAGCCCCCGCCCGGCAGGCCCGGCCCCCCTTCCACGTACCCTGAAATAAATCTCATAACCGTCCCCCACCTGTAGGACCCGCCGAGTAGCTCTCCTCCCAACTACCACCTTCAGATCCTTGAATGGAGAGGAAATATTTTGAAATCTGACAGGATTAGAAAGGGGTCTTAATTCACTCGGAATTTCTGTCTGCCACATGCAGTTAAATAGGTTATTTAAAAATCAAAAAACCCTCAAATTAGCATTAAATAAGCAAAGAGAAATGAAGTCAAACTCAGCCTACTCGGGAAATATTGCTGATCCCAAATGAGAAAGTTCTTCATCTTCAATTGTGAAGCCGTTACAGTTCACCTGCAGCGGGGCGGGGAGAGAGAGACTGAGCTCAGACTTCCGACAGAAACTTTTCTTAAATTCAGATCTCCAACAAGTCAACCAGCAAGGCGCTCTGGGCGGGCGAGTGTTCTAGACCACGGTGGCCTTTGTCCTGCCCACAAGTCCTGTGTGTGAACAAGCAGAACGTTAGGGGGAAGCCCCCAGCCTGGCCAGCACCCATGTGCTCCTTTGTGGGGGTGCTGATGGCCTTGAAGCCAAACTGCAGGCACTCCTCCTACCTGCAACCCCCCTCTCCTGGAAACGTCCCCAGAGTGAGCTTGAGCCTTGAAGGAAAGATCCACCACCTCGGACCGGTCAAGTCATGTCAGGAGCAAGCACTTGGTGACAGTGACCCCGTAATAGGGGTTCAGACCACATATGGGCTCTGCACCCAAAGCCCCTCCCACCTGCCAGCGGCCCCGCCATGGGAGCTGCCCTTAGTGCCGAGTTAGGGGTTTGGGCACCTAGCCGCAGCACCCCCAGGATGGAGGTGGGGGGCCCGGGCTGGCACGGCGGCCCCAGTGGGTGGCGTGGGCTGGTAGCACTTGTCCTCCTACTCTGGAGTCGTCTGTGGGGACACCGAAAGTCCCTTCTCAAGCTTCCATGGGAAAAAGGGGCAATGCGTGCATGCTGGTGTGTACATGCTGCTCAGATGAACACTAACCTGCTTGATCTCAACTAGCCTAGTTCACACTACATCAGGCAGCTCCCTGCGCGAGTGTGAGTCTGCTTGTGTCCCCAGTGCCTGGGCCCTCCAAATCAGTCCACATTTCACACTGAGTCATTTTCACCACGAATGTTCTGTGGCTGGGGGCTCAGGCCTGCTCCTGCCCCTGTGCAAGAGAAGCTCTCCCGTCACTGCTGCAGTGGAGACGGCCCGTGTGGGTTCCTCCCGCTCCCCCAGTCATCCCACCCTGTCCAGTTCCCATAAAGTCCTGGAACTTGTTTTGAAAAAAATCTGTAGAAGTCCAGTCCGCCACTGTCCCCTGTTGCCAAGGAAGGGAGGGCCTGGACCCCCGGGGCCTGAACAGTCGGGGGTCTTCACCACTCCAGGTTAACATGCAGGACGCAGAACACCACTTGTCCAGGTTCCACAGCGCACAAGAAGTGCCATGACACACGAGGGCTGACCCAGCAAAGTGCTGATGGCGTGTTTCCCAGGCGGCTGGGGTCGGGTGGCAGGCGCGGTGGTGCACAGCCTTTCCTCGATGGGTGATTTTTTAAATGGAAGAATTATGGGTGCCTTCCATCTTTTTCTTCTTTTCAATATTAATGTAAGAAATTTAAAAAATCACCCAGCAGAAAAGCAAAAACACCCCACAGAGAAAGGCAGCCCAACATGAGTGCCTCACTTCAGCTTGTCCAAAGTAAATACAGGATGAACATTTTCACAGCACACACCTTCTCTTACCCTGCTTTTGCACTTAATGTCACATTGCGTTTCAGAACAGTCATAATATATTTTTCTCTATGCAAACATGTGTCATGACTTTTCTGATAACCCAATATCTGCACTTAATGGGCCCCCCTCTTCAGCCTTTGAAATACAACTGTAAAGACCATATACCCGCATCACAAGGCCGTGCCATAATTTAGTTCTCAAACTCCTACCACTGGCCGTTCAGATTTCTTTTATTGTTGTTTTTTTTCAAGATTTATTTTTATTTATTTATGCATACAAGAACCGAGGTGTAGGCCAGAGGTGTGTGTGGTGAGAGGATTCACCAGAAACACAGTGGGGAGCAGAACAGGTGGATCCACTGAAATATACTGCTGAGGGGAGCAGTGGGAAGACAGGAGAGGTCTGCTGAGCCATGTGGGTCAGCTTTCTGGCCAGGAATCGAACTCAGGCCCTTGCATTGGCAGTGTTGAGACTTAACCCCCAGGACACCAGGGAGACCCCCAGGTTTCCTTTTTTCTAAAAGAACCCCACAATAAATAATCTGTGTATCAACCTCTGCCCGAAGTTTGATTACTTACCCCGGGCAGCTTCCTGCACATGGGATGAGGGGTCAGTGGGCACAGGTCCTGGGCATGGAAGTGTACAGTGCGCTCTTCTCCCCAGAGACACCTGGTCAGGCGGTGACACACCCCAGGGAGCTGCCTTCCTGGACCTCCCCTGGACGCTCACCTCCACTAGTGCCCAGGTGGGGGATAGGCCAGGTTGTGAGAGGGAGCGGAGTCCCACCCAGCTGTGGGGCCAGCCTGGCTGCCAGGAACAGGAAGGAGAAAGTGGCCAACGTGGGTTAGTCGCAGGTGCAGGCCCAGCCCCGGCAGGACCCACATCCAGTGATTCTTTCAGGCTTTGTCTCTAGTACATGTCTTGATCATGAGGAGTAAAAAATTAGAACTATACCGTGGGTGAATAGTAAAGGAATTTCCATGCTTGTGGACAGCTGTGGCTTTGGGGTTTTCTGGCATCGAGTTCTGTAATGGCTTTTAGGGTGCTCTGGTCTGGAAGCCTCTCTGGTCCTTCACTGACTGATGCTGGTAAAGCTGGGTTTCTCCCAGGAAGATTTCTTAGCAAACTTCAGGAAAGAGCCCCCACCCCTGCAGCTGGATCCACTGGGGCTCGGCCCAGTGGGCTGTCCTCCCTGGGGTGGAGGGCAGACCCCCTCCTGGGCACACCCAGTGCTGGTGGGCATTTAAGAAATACCGGGGGGAGGGGTTCACAAGAAGGAAAGTGAATGTTAAGGCAGGAATCTCCTGTGGACTTTCTGGAGAGCTTCTGGGGTGTCCCAGCCCGGGACGCCAGCAGCCCTATGTCCCCCCAAGCTTTCTGTGGCCACAGAGGCTCAGGCTTCCACTCAGCTCCACTCACTAGCGAGGGCCAACAGACGCCTGACCTGCCCAGGCGGTGGCCTGAGGGGGCACGGCTGGTCAGGCAGAGCCACCTCCCCAGTGTGCTTACCTGGGCAAAGAGCACCACTAGACTCCCGTTGTCGGGGAACTCCAGGTGCTTGGAGTAAAAGTGATGGAGGGCAGCGATGTCGCTCTGAATCAAGTCCTTCTTCTCATTGTCTAACTTGTCCAGATCTGTGGATGACAAGCCATGATTCACTGGCGGAAAACTGTGGACCCTGAGTGTGGCCCTGTTCCGCCAAGAGGGTCTGGGCAGGAGAGGGCAGGCCCAGCCCTAGTGGGCTTCCTCCCCCACACGTCCATGTGATAAGACCCACGTGGCCAAGGCCGAGCCTCTCTCCTCATCCCTGGACAAATGCCAGCCCGTCAGGACAGGAAATTTCCACAGGCTCTAGCAGCTGAGTGGCAGGGGGTGCCACCTGTGTGGTCTAGTTGGAGCACCGGGTGCCCTGAAACCTGGTCGAGTACCTGAGGCTGGCTGAACTGCTGATGTCAGCAAGGTGGCTGCCACCAAAGGGCCTGCAGGTCCGGCCAGTGTGTAAACACTGCCAGCATAGACCTTGCCTCCTGTCTTCATCCGTGTCCTCCCCTAGATGGGGTGGACAGGCCCCTGGACAGACAGACAAGACACTCACGTGATTCAAACTCCTTCACAGCCAGCAGCTTCTCTGAAGGCGTCCGCTCTGGGTGGCTCTTCTAGAAGTCGGGAAGAAACCACACGGCAGACCATCAGCAGGCGCTCGTCACGGGCCGACAGACAAGCGCGTCCTGTCCCCAGGAGCTGGGCTGGCCCCAGACGTGCTAGGTGGGACTCCGCTCCCTCTCACAGCCTAGCATCTCCCCCTGCACCCTGGACACCTAGTGGAAGGGACCTTTCCAGCCAGCCAGGCTGGACCTAGGCATCTGCCTGACACCCAAATCCAGAAGACCCTTCTGAAAAGCCTTACAAAAGGTCTGCCTCACTCTGACACCCTGATAACACGATGTTGACACCCCAATAATGTGATGCACATGGTGGGCTCTAAAATGTTTGTTATGGAAAGGCCGGCGGCAAGCCACCAACTTTTTAGGGTCCTTACTTAAAAGGACTGAGTCTGCACATGAACCATGCTATTTATTATTTCTCCTGCTTAAAAGGAACAAAATCGAACCCCCCATCCATTTTCCACTTTCTTTAAGCATAGGCGAAAATGATCTCAAATTCTGTTTCAAAAAGCACACTTTTGGTGGGATCCGCGAGCCCAGATGCACTTTAAACACGCTGCCCGCTTTGTTCTAGACGCCCTGAGAGGAGCTAACAATAGTAAGCCCGTCAGGCTTTGAGAACATGAATAAACTTGATGTTGACAAGAGTTCAAACGCGGCGCTCAGGAGCTGGCCCCAGGCCCGTCTTTGTGATCTGGTGCTTCAATTCGGGGAGACAGGTGGTCTGCAGGCCCTCTCACCTCCCTAGTTAACATGTTAAGCTTCCCCTTGGTGGTGGGGTGGTCGGTCTCCCCTAATCCTTTGCAAGGCACTAGAATACAAATGGTCTGTTTTTTAATCAGCAGGTCCCACAGAGATGAAACGATGACCAGGTAACAACTTTTCATGTCACAGACTATTAGCAGTAGCAGTCATTTTAATAAAAGTTGAATGAAACTGGTATAAACTCATCGTGGCAGCCAGGCCACCCTCCTGGGGCTGGAACATTTCAATCCTCCTTTTCTGGAGCAGAAATCGCCCATTCACAGGAGGCATTTCTCTGAGATTCCGAAGGCATTTTGCCTGGGGAGGCTTTTCGCTCAGCGAGGCACACCAGCCTCTTCTTCATTCCTGACCACAGCTCTGTGACACTCACTGGGGTTGGGGACCCCTCGTCCCCACGAGCCTACAGGTCTGATTTGATGCCTTGTGTGCCCTGAAACCTCACCCGGTCACCCCATCTCTTCCTGCCATTTCCGCCAGCCACACACACAGATGGAGAGATGGACGCGGCAGAGAAAACCTTCGGCCAGGGGAGCTGTTCCGAACCTGGGACGCATGCCCCGGGCAAGCCCTGGCCGCCCAGGCTGACCCAGTGGCATTTTGGCGGCACCTGACTGGGCCACACAGCCCGAGGGTAACCTCAGACTTTGAGAATGCCCTCTTGTTTGTGCAGCCTGGGGCCCGCTGGCCGGACACAGAGCTCATCATTACGATCACCTTTCGGCTGATACCAGAAATAGAAAGTTTTAAAGGGAAGGGGTGGTGGTAGGTCTCAGGAAGAGGGGGATGAAATTTCAGCTTGAGAGCATCGAGGCCCTGCACCGACTTATTATTAGCAGGGCTCTGTGGACAGGCGCCTCCAGCCTTCCCCAGCAGCAGGATGCTCTCTTCGGGTCACAAGGAGGCCCTGGGGTGCATCCCCCCTCTTCTCAGCATGGCTTTTGGAGATGAGGTGTCCCTGTTGCACTGTGGGAACAGAGGAGCATGTGGCCTGTTTCTGCAGGGCGTGGCTTCCTTCCATCCTCGTCCGTGGGCCCCCCAACTTACCTCGCTTTCTCCTTTCCCACCCCTCCCCTGTGTTCCTCCTCTCTCCTTCCACCCCCTTCCTGGGCCTGAGACCACCGCCCAGAGCCACAAGGCCTGTCTCTGCACTCCTTGGACCAGCAGTGCCCTGGCTTGTCATGCCTCAAAAGCCCTGTTTCTCTGTCCCCGTTTCATTATGACCTCAGGGCTACCTGGTGCTGCAACATGCCAGCCCCACAGCGAGTGACGTGCTGGTCCAGGGGCAACCAGAACCACTGGCCCTGGAGAGTTGCCCAGCAGTCGCATGGATGTGACAGGAAACGGAGCCCAGGACGATTCTCCCGGAGCAGCGGCCAAGGACGGTCACTCATCTTCTGACCTCCAGGGAGGCCCAACCAGATGCACAGAACATGGCCCCACCTCCTCACCTGCTTGGCCAGGATCCTTGCTGTCAGCCTGACAGTCTCTGAGGGATTCCAGTTCTCCCCAAAAACCACCATGGGAGCACATTCCAGGCGGTGCAGGGGCCAGTCTGCCCTCTGGAAGGGCAAGCAGATATGTTTAAACACCCCTTCCCGATGCGTACACAGCAACGCGCACACACACGCACATACACACACACAAACACAGGCACACACATGCACATGCATGCACACATGCACACACAGGATTAATGTGGCCAAAGAGAGGAGGCAAACACCCTCCCAGTTAGGGTCAAGTGAAACATGTTTCCTTTAGGACAACACGACGGAGCTCAGAAAAGCAGGAGCTCAAAACACCCCTCAAGAAGGACATGGCTGGACAGCCTCGACGGGTCTACCGAGGGCGTCCGGGCAGGGCATCTGCTTACTGAGTTTTGTCACCCACATCTCAGGTCTTCCCAGAGTCCCTCACTCCCCCACTGCATAGCCTACCCCTCCTGTGACCTCGTAGAGGGCAGGGGCACCTGGGCCTGGCCTGGCTCTGTGTCCCCGTTGGGGCAGATAACAGGGCTGGCGACCAGCCCCTCAGAGGTGAGCAGAACAAGACCCAACTGAGAGTCTGACAAGGGCAGGTCTGGGCAATACTTAGGAGACAGATGTCCTGAAGATTCATTTCACCAAACAGGAAAATGACTCCTCTCCAGTGAAGCTTTCAGGCCCTGGGCCGAGAAGGATGGGCAAGGATGGTGGGGAGAGACCGTGGGGGGACGCAGGCAAGGGAGTCGGAGAGCGGTGTGGGCGGCCGAGGGACAAAGCCCTCTGTGGAAAGGGGGTGGACAGCATGGACGGCGCTGTGGTGGTGTCCCTGTGAAGTGCTGAGGCCTGGTGGACTTCACACAGGTCACCGCGGCCCCTGACCAAAGCCAGTTCTTGGTGCGACAGGGACAGGAAGCCGGGGGTGGTGGTTTATGGGGTAAGGCCTCTCTTGGCGAGATGCATCAGAGCACATTTGCCACCTGATGGACATCTTCAGATACCCTGCCTCCACAGAAGGGGGTCCTGGCCTCCCCTCAGCCCTTCCTGTTCAGACAGGCTTCAGGCCGGACCCCCAGATCTTCCTTCTGCCAGCCTCGCCTCACCCCATCACGCTCCAGCCAGGCTGCCTCTGCCAGCAGAACGTCTGAGGGGTCTCTGTCCCCCGTGCCTTCCTGGCCCGTTGCATCCCGGACCAAGCCTGGCCGCTGCCTGGACACCTAACTGGCCTATCCCCCACCTCCCTGGGCACTACACCCACGAGGTGCCACTTAACATGGGGGCATGGTCTGAGAGGGCAGCCCATGCAAGCGTTACTGCGGGCAGGGACGAGACCTTGGGAACCCCACCCCACAGGCCCACCCTGACCCCGCCGTCCTCCGACCGCCATGAGGGTAAAGCCACAGAAGGAATCAGCCCCTGAAGCAAACTCAGGTCATGCCAGTTCTCAGAACCATCTAGTTTCTCATCCCAAAGCAAAAGGCAGATGAGCAGGGGTCACTGTGCAGAGCCCCCAGGCCACCCTGCCAGGCCCTCCCACTTCAGCACAAGGCCCCCTGGGGCTGGACACCCCACACAAGCTCCTCCTGCAGGTGTCTGAGCCTCCTGGGGTTCCCCACCGTCCAGCAGCCCTCTGTTCTCCCCACCATCGTTCTCCCCACAACTCGTGCCACGTGCCCCACCAAACACAGCCCCTCACCCTGTCCTCACTCAAGGCTCCTCACACCTGAGCTCACAGGCAGTAGCTGCCGGCTTTGCTGTCTCCCCCTGTTGACAGGAAGGGACTAGTCTGTTCAGTCCATGTTGGGGACCTGACACTCAGCTAAGTCACCGAAGGAATGAAGATGCGCCCTCGCGCCCCCATCTGGAGGGGGGGCCACCTGCTTGGGTGGGTGGGTGGGGCACAGGGGTGCGTGGGCCCGTGGCTGAAGGACCCAGGGTAGCGATGGAGATGCAGCTGCAGCAGAAGAGGTGGTCCAGGCGCTGGGTGCCAAGTCTGAGGGGGAAGGGAGAGCAGGACAGAGAGGGCTGGGTCCAGGGGTACCAGTGGGCTACAGGACCCCTGCTGGGCTCACAGGATACCTACAACCACCCAACTACCCCCTGGGCCGTGAACCTAGGAGCTCTAACAAAGCACAACTCGCCAGGTGACCTTGGTGCAGGAAGGGCTTGTGTTTTCCAAGCCGTAGTCTATGCTGCAGGCACTTAAGCACCCCGGGACCCCAGGAGAGCAGCTCACAGGCCAACCTAACCCGTGCGGGTGACTCGTGTGCCTCCATGGGCGTGTGCACAGCACACAGGGTGGCATTCACAGACGGGGAAGTCCCCACAGGGAAGGGCATGCAGCGCAGGGGTCGGTGTGATCTGGGAGCACGTCCCCGCCCCTACTGCTATGTGAGCCGCGGAGAATCCTAATCCCCACGCGGCTGCACCCCTGGCTGTAAACAACATGATCCCGGAGCTACTTAGCGGCTCCAGAGCGTGGAGCCTACGATTTTACACCTTCCAACAATGAAGACCAGACGCAGCATGTGAAGGCAAGCAACTGTCGGCCACTCCCCAGGGAAACAGGAACCCGGTACCCGCCGAGGGTCCAGGGGGATCTCAAAGCTGACACCCCAGAAGCACCACAGCCTACACTCCCGCAGCAGCAAGCTGGGGTCTCCACAGCTGGTTCCTTCACTCGTTCACTCCACAAGCCCCACGGCTCCCAAGGAGGCAGGGACGGGGGCAGGTACAGTCTGCCTTCAAGGGACTTACAGATGCAGGGCTATAGAGGGGTACCAGTAGCAAGGAAGGACTGCTGTGGGGGCCAGGCCCACACTAAGCAGGGAGGCCAGGGAGCGGGGGACCTTCCGGGGAGGGCAGAGCTGCCTGACGGAACTCATGCGTCATTTCCATGTCACGGCACCCTCTACCCAGTTAGACGTGACGAGTGGCGGGCATGCAGGAGCATGAGCTGCACCGCTTGGCACTGCTCGCTCACATGCTTGGAAAAAATGGGCAAGGACAGCATCTGCTGGGGTGTCAGGCTCTCATCCCGTCCCGCATCGCTACTGACATGGGGGCCCATGAGCTTACACAGCCGGATGGTTTGCCCTAATGTTGCCCTAGAAATCATAAACCCCAGGCCCGGGACAAACACATCTTGGCCATGCCAGCCTGCTGGATGGGACAGATGTGACTGAGGACCATGTCAGTGTCATTGAACGCGCAGTTAGTGTCACGGCACCCGGGCCCCTGAAGAACGAGTGGGGTGCTGTCTGACTGGGTGAGGACACAGGGATTTTGCCTCTCTAGCTCTTGCACACACCGCTTCTCCTGCTGTGCCGACCTCTGAAACACTGTCCTCCTACATGGCAGGTCCACATCATTGGGGATGGTGAGAAGAGATGGCAGGACCTGGGGCCTCCAGGACCTCTGTCTCAGAGAGATGGAATGCCAGGGGGCCAGGGCAGTGGATGGGCACCCTCAGGAGGGAGGGGGTGCGGCCAGACCCCAGGCGAGGACATGCACGGGCCCGCACTCCCTCGGCCCCCCACCAGCAATGCCACATGGATGCTTTTGGTCTTCATGCATATCCTCCCTGCTGGTGCCGGCCACCTTTAGAAAGAGCAGCTCAGCCTGCGAGGGTCCCTGTGTCTTGGCTGTGAGACCGACTTGGCCGAAGTCTGGGCCCTGGAGCTTAAAGGCAAGGCCGTGCACGAGGTGCTCGTGAGCACGTCTCAGACACCGGCCGCACCAGGTGTTTCCCAGCCCACGAGCAAAGTCCAGCACATCTCGCCCTTGGCCCACTCCCTCCCCCAAGGGCCACCCATGGCCCAGCACTGACATCGCGAGACATGCATGGCGCTGCTTGTTAATGTGAAATGCCCCAGGATGCTTGAGCCTGCCCCTCTCCCCTCTCCTGATGTCCCGAATGATCCTCTTGCCTGCGTCCTGGTGCATTTAATGAAGTCAGGGTGAGAGAATTACACACACACTTTCTGGGCATATTTATGAAAATAAATATACTTCATTAAAATGCACAGGTGACAAAATAAGCCTCACTACAAAGAATTTCTATTTCTTTTATATCTCCTCCCATTACCCTTTCATGCATTGTCAATTAAAATCTCTCCTCTGGCAGGACCACGCTGGGTCAGGCGAGCGGGGAGCAAAGTAAACTGGCACCGAGTCCTCTGATAGCATCAAATAAGCTAAATCCCAAAGCACCGTGACTGGAGATGGGGGGTTGGGGAGAACTTGCATCAGGTGCTGGGTCCTGGCGAGAGGGAGCCCACAGCAGGGGCCAGCCTGGGCACCTGCGAGGCCAGGCAAGGCCACGGCCCTGGAAGGATCCCTTCGCAGCTGTGATGGCCCTTCTCCACCATGATGCCCCTTCTCCTCGTGATGGCCCTTCTCTGCCACAATGCCTCTTCTCCTCGAGGGCCCTCGGCAGCCCCTGCTCAGCACTGCACAGGGGAAGGCTGCCACGCCATGTGCAAGCTGAGCCCCAGCTCCACCCGTGTGGCCGCGGACAGGCCATCCAGCCTGGTGCACCAAGGAGGAGCCAGAGGTGAAGATCATGGTCAGTCCACCCTGTCTTCTGGAGGAGCCAGAAGACTCTAGTCACCTGGGGGCAGCACGGTCACAAGGTGCTCAGCAGCAATGCACAGAACCACAGAGTCGTGCCAGTGAGTGCCCTGGCCCAGGCCCGAGTGAGCGATGGGGAAGCTGCCTGCCACACTCTGACAAGCAGCCACCTTGGCTCAAGCCTCTAAATGTGACTTCCCATACCAGGGTGGGTCCTTCATTCTGGGTCCCCAAGCAATCTTGTTAGTCTGACCCCCTGCACAGCTCTCTGCGGAGCAAACACGCTGTCCAGCTGCCTGGGGTGCAGGGAGAAGTAGGCTGTCTGGGGTCTCTAGTTAACATGAAGCCCTAGGAAGGGCAGCCGCACCCTCATAAACAGGCCTTTCCAAGCCTTCAAGTGGCAGAGATGAGGGCCCAGAGGCACAGGAACCACCCAGAACCTCTAGCTGAAATTCCCAGGGCTGGTGGCCTTGCCAACTCAGTCCACCAACACCCCATCCACAGTGGGTGGGAGCAAAGCCTGAGCTCTCCTGTGCGTAAGGAGGTCCCACTCTCAGACATGTCCACTCCCAGCCCACTTCCATCTTTGCTGCCTGGCAGGCAGACCACTCTGGAAGCCTACCTCAGGGGACCTGGGGTCTCCTCCTCTTGAGACACCCCCAGACCCTAGGCTCAGCTGTGCCTCCCTGTGTCAGCTGAGAGGAGAGGCCAACGCAGCCACCTCGCCCACTGCTAGTAGTGGCCCTTCCCCAAGGCCCAGGGAGAAGAGGAGAAAAAGGAAATCATGGGGATCCAAAAGGCACTGAGCGGGGCATGGATGAAGGGGGTGCCGAGTAAGGGAAGGAGAACAGCAAAACGAGACACAGACAGGCACAGTAGCCTGCCTGCAGAGCGATGCCGCACACGTCTCACTCCCCAAGGGTCTGCACAGGGTTCCGTGGAAGTAACAGTGAGTGAGGAACGGGGTGTGTGGAGAGGCCAGGGCCGGATTTCCACCTTGGGATTCTGTGGTGTGCCTTTGGGGAACTGTGCAAGCAGCACTCAGAGAAAGCGCAGGGGACACCCCTGGACCTTCCCCCTCCCACTGTCACAGGAGAGCCAGACCCGCCAGACACACGCCTGTCTGCTGCAGCCCAACACTTGGCTCCTTCCCATGAGCCCCAAGAGCCAGCTGGGGCTGCACCAGGGTGGCGGCAGCCCCTGAGGAGGCAGGTTCCAGCTCGTCATAGGCTGTGGGCAACAGGGACCTGCCCAGGGGGCCATAAGGACAGACCAGCCAGGGCCAACATTTCAAGTCTCAAAGACAGCGCTGACACCTCTCGTGTCATTCCAGAGTTGTCGCCTGCTGCTGGCGGCCTGTGGTGGGCAGACAGACCTGGGGGCAGAGTGACCTGGGCTGACACCCCATCATCTGCATCCAAGAGGCCAGCTGCTCGTCCTTCCCAGCAACCCTGCACCTCGTTTTTGGCCCTGATGGTGGAACCCAAATGAGGCTTCCTACTCCCAGTTGCATGTCTGTTTTGCCACACGCAGGGTATCCAGCATGCCCAGACACTGCTCAGCAGCAGCAGGGTTCTCGGGGAGAGGGGAGAGGAGGACTTGGGGGTCCCCAATTCAGGGGAACAGGCCCTCCCTGCCGTGGGCCCCATGCCTACCTGACACTCCGCATTGCAGTAAAACGCCTGCTTGCATCGTCCGCACTTGGACAGTCCTTCTTTCCTTAAAAACAGAAAGGGCACAGTGGAGGCAGGAGTGAGACATGTGAGGTGCATCCCTACCCCCAAGAGCCGAGCCCAGAGGCACCTTCCTGGGAGGTGCGGGAGGGAGTTCATGAAACTCCATGTGCAGGAGCCTGAGGTCTGGTTCCTGTGGAGGGAGCTCGCCCCGAGACCAAGGATGAGGCTGGGCTCCCGAACCTGCTGGGACACCCCAGCTGTCATCGCTGGCATTGTCCCTCAGCATCTGGGCAGGTCAATGGGCTTGTGCCCGACAGTGTCACCTCTGAGGAGGAACAGACCATCTTGGAGGTCTGATACACAGATGTGGGTTGGGGTTCACTGGCACCAGGGACTTCAATGTGAGGACCCCCTTTATCATCCAGAGACCCAGCTACCAGTAGGCAGTGTCCAGATGCCCAGATGCTCATGGTGGGCCTCCCCATAAGCAGAGGTCGTGGGCAGAATCACAAGACTGGTGCCCGCACCCTGCAGGCTGTGGGGAGACTCTTCCGCCCCCCCGCCGGCTCCCAACTCCCTGGTCCCTGACTGTTAGCTTCTGTTTCCCATGAAGGTCAGGGTCAAGGTCGCTTCTGAACTGCTGGGAATTTGCCATCTGGAAGGGTGGAGGCTCCTTCCAGACCTGAATCACCCCCCACACATGTCTCAAAACCACCTTTGAGAGGGGGACAAGCACGGGGCTCATGTCAACTGTGACCCATGTTGAGTCCGCCCAGCCCCTGCCTTACGGCTTCCGGTAGAGCCCACCCCTGCGGCGCCCCCAGCTGACGAGGACACACACACCACTGTCGGCAGAGCCTCCACCGCACCCGTCAACCAGTGACAGTCACCACACGCCACCCACGGAAACCAAAGTGTTCCCAAAAATGCTGCTGTTGGCACCAAAACGCCGCCTTGCAGTTTTCCTGACAGCATTTGGGTTCCCAGCAGCAGACTGAGGAATGTGTGGGAGCAAAACGCGTCCAGTGCTGGAGGCATAAATAAATACTCAGAGTTTGCACATCTCCATGGCTCAGAAAGGAGCCCACTCAACTTAGCCAAGCTTCTTCTCTGGCCTGAAACAACCCAGGGGCCAAGTCTGGCTCTGTGTTTGGGGACAAGAGAGAAGAGCGCGGACACTGCTCGCTGCGTTCCGGTGGGAGGGGACAGGCAGAAGGGCACAGGAACAAGGATGCAACCACAGGCCATGCCAGGCCACAGGCAAGTGCCAGGCGGAAGGTGGAGACCAGCAGAGCCAGAGAGGGTCCTCCAGATTGCTGCACAGAAAGGAGGTACGCCGGAAACAGAGGGCAGGTGGGGTGCCCTCCCCAAATGTGCACCCAAAAGTCCTTTGTTGGTGCTTATTTTCTAGGGGGAGGTCACAGAACCTCTGAGAATTTGATCTAAGTTATTAACTCCCCAACAACACACCTCCCCCCTACCCACCAACACTTAAAAATTTTATAAAATTCCAAGGGCTCGTGGGTCCTTGAAGTCCATAGGAATCACGGAAGGCCCCCCTGATAGAGCAAGATCAGGGAATGGTATGTTGACTAGCTTGAGAAACAGGCGGCAGGACCATCTCCCACAAAATCTGCAGAAAAGTGAGCAGCGGAGGCTGTTCTACAGCCTCCAGGTCACACTCAGGAGACCCAGGCAGGGCGGGTTGGAAGACTCCCCCCTCTGCTGTGGGGGGCGCAGCCAAAGAATAGATCTCTGATCCCTCTGTGCCAGTGACAAACCAGAGGAGCAGGAAGAATACCTGCTCCTTGGGGGGTAGGGGGACCCCTCACTCCTACTCCTCCTGGCCCTCTCTGGCTCAGGTCTCTGCGCCTGCTGGCCCAGGTGACCCTTTCAGAAAGTAGGTGAAGTCAAAACTCTTCAAAAAGATACCAGATGGGGAGGGGGAGGTGACCTCGTGTTTGACCATCGCTGACCCAAGTGTTGCCGAGAGACTCCCATGGGACATCCAGGGATCTACTGTTGCTGCTGAAGATGCCCTGAATCCCCCTTTGCAATGTGACCGGATTCAACAGTCCCCTGGCGTGGGAAAGAAAGCTTTCATAAAGCTCTCATAAAGCTCTTCAGGAGTCTCAGAAGTTTCCAGAACCGGCCTGGTCCTGCGGGAATGTCCCGAGTGCAGGCTTTGCTGATGAAGGTTCTGGAAGGGCACTCCCTGGATGGGGGAGGCTGGCTACCTGCACAGCCACAGAGAGAGAACAAACATCATCAGGTGTGTTACTGACCATATTTTCTAACTACGTCAGAAGCATATTCCAGAAGCCAGGTGTGCACCTGAGCAAGCAACCTCCTGTTTGATCCCACCTCCTTCAGACTCCCGCTTCACAGTTCAGGATGAATCGGGAGTTACTGCTCACAAATCTTTTTTTCTTTCTGGTGCTGGAGGGGTTATGTGATCTTGGGCAACCTAGTCATCCTCTCTGAACTCCTTCCCTCCTCTGTAAAATAAAGAGCTAGCGTCTACCTCACAGGTGTGCTAAGAAAGTTACATGAGAAAACACGATGGAAGTGCACCCCGAACTTTTACTCAGCTTGTGTGCTGACACCTTTGCCAGGATCCTGCTCAGACTCATGCTTAGAGGACCACGTCCCCAAGCCTTTGTTTCATGGGCAAATATTGACGCTGCTGCGCACAGAGAGCTCGGAACTCAAGATGAGGTTCCATCCACAGGGGTGGGGACGGGGGCAGGAAACGCGAGGGTCTCAGGGCCGTTGCCAGGGACAGAACTCGAAAGACTCACTCCTGTCACTTTCCACCGAAGGAGACACACGAACATTAATTGTCTTGCTTTCACGATTGGGAAGCCACGAATATCAACAAGTCCAAGATGTAATTAACAAGTCGCGCAGGTGGTGAGTGCGGCCACGGGTGCTGATGCAGGAGATGAAAGGGCCTGATCCCGGGAGTGCGAGGATGCTGCACTGCAACAGGCTGGCAGCACCGCCATGAAAGCAGGCAACTCTGGCAGGGAGGGGGTTTGCAATAACAATTACTTTTAACGAACAGTGACAGAAGAAGTGACAAGTGGGCTCTGTTGAACAGAGGCTGGCCCAGCCAAAGGAAAAAGGGAAGAGGAAAAAGCCCAGCGGCACGGGCTCCATTCCCTGGGCTGAAGCAAGACAATCAGTGGCGGAGTCCGCCCCCCGCCCGAGCGCGTGGCTGCACACTGGACAATTTTTATCTGAAAGACAGAAAAATAGGAGGAATTGTGGTGGAGCCCTATTATCGCCCTGGTCAGGGGACAAGGACAATGCAAGGCGATTGTGCAGTGTGAAAGACGCGCCCGCAGCACTTTAATCCACAATGGGCCAGGGAAGGGACCTGTGCTGCAGGGAGCTTCTTCCCAGAGCCGGGCCAGGCTCCGCGGGGCTTTGTTCTGAGGCTTGTTAGAAGCCAGAGCCCGGGGCCTCTTGGGGAGGAGGGAAATATTTAGGGCAGCAAGGTAGCCATTAATAGGTTTTCCTAACTCTGGGGCTGTGATTTACCAGGGGAAAGCTGGGCGGGCAGCGGGGCAGCTAACCTCATTAGAAAACAGGGACACTGGGGAAAGGGCATGATGGGGGTCAGAGGGCACATGGTGTCAAAGGGCAAGGTGTCAGCTAGAAAGTGTTGAGGAACTAAGACACAGCACACGAGGAGCTGGCGCGCTGGCGTGGCTGAGAGCAGCTCTGGATGCTACGAGTCCGTCCGGTAAGGGGCAGTGGCTCCCAGATCTGTCCTCATGGTCCCGACAAGCTCAGCGCACCTCACATCACCATGCACACTCGCCACACACACCCCGAGTGTCAGTTACCTGCCATCAGGCCCTGCACACACGACTCCAGACGCCATGGCAGTGGAAAGGGCCCATGGAGGTGAGACACCTGTGCCTCGGGAAGGACAGACTCGCTAGCTCGGGCTCAGAGGCGAGAAACCTTTGCCCAACAACAGCCAGCATCAAAAGACTCTCCCACGAGTCCTGTGTGCTATCCTGGTCCCTGGGTCCTGAGAACCCCCAGTGGGCAAGAGAAGGAATGCTTGACCCAGAACCTAAGGTTTTCCCCCAGCACTTTACACCTCACATTCCTATTCAAGATCAAATGATCTTGAATGTTCCTGCTCCTTCATCCTCTGCATCCCTAATACCTACTGACTGGGGAGTCTTCCTTTCAAAGGAGAACAGAGAACATCCATCATTTCTTCCAAAGGCACAATAAAATGACATGTCAGCAATAAGATCAGACCCCTGGAATGGTCGCTGCCCTGATGCCCATGGCACCGAGGAGACTACAGAACAAGGGGCGGGCTGGGGCCTCCCTTGTGGTGCAAGGGGTTAGTGTCAGCATGTGAACTATCTGCAGTCACTGCAGCAGGAGTTCGATCCTTGGCCAGGGAGCTGACACTCAGGGCACAACAGACCTCTCCTGTCACCTGGCTGCTCCCCTCAGCAGTGTATTTCAGTGGATCCGCCTGTTTTGCTCCCCACTCTGTTTCTGGTGAATCCTCTCAGCCCCTGCATCTCTGGCCTACACCCCAGTTCTTGTATGCATAAATAAATCAATCTTTAAAAAAAAAAAAAGAAAGAAAAAACAAGGGACAGGCCGAAAGCCAAGCAATGAAAAATGCAACTATTTAAAACTCAAAATGCTCCTCACAATGCCCCTTCTCCCCCATCGACACTCTGGCCACAGACTGGCATGTCTCCCTGTGGCGCACAACACCAGCCGTGCCTTCTAGAAGATGCCAGGACTGCTGCGGCCACACCTGAGCACCAGTTCTGCCCAGGAGAGACGGGATAGGCCCCATGAGACCCCTGCACAAGACTAAGGAGGGGCTCTTGTCCCTGCCCCTCTCCTGTAGACAAACAGGAGCTGGATCCCATGCGTGCCGTGAGTTACCCGCTTGCGGGCTTCACCCTGACAGAGCAAATTTGTCAGATATCATTCAACCAGATTCTAGCATGTGTTTTTCTTTTAATCCTTACAGCTGGATATGAATCCATC